AAGGAAAATTAGGCATCATTCACTTAAAAAGAAATGATGCATAAAGAAGGTTTGAAAGAGTGTGAAGGAGAAAGAAGATGACAAAGACATTTCTGAACTTGAAGGACCTACAGACATTTAAGCTATTCAGTGGTAGGATGAAATCTTGGCCACAGATAGATATTTAGTAGTTTCTGAACCCTATATATGAATAATTAAAGATCTTGCCTTTACACTGCTAAACAAATGTCATTATGATTAGAGTGCCAACTCTGGAGTCAGACTGCTTGCATTCAAATCCTTACTTCAACATTACGACTGTGACACTGGGCAATTCCTATTTTCTCTAATCTCAGTCTCCTCAGTTTTAAGATGGGTGGGGGTCAATAAAAGAACCTCCTTCATAGGCTGCCAAGTGAATCCAAGTGGGTAACACATGTAAAGCTTCAGCATTGTACTTGTGTTCAGTAAACGTTAGCTATTTCTGAGGACAAATCCTACAGAATACCAAACTCAATGTTGGGGTAATAAAAGCAGCCCCCAGAGGAATCTGAGAGGAAGTCGTCAAAGACTTAGAAAACAAAGTCTAGAGAAGCAAAAGTTAAGGAAGGTACATGAGTTCCAAGAGAGAAAGAATCGGTCAGGGCAGTGGCTCACGCCTGTAATCCTAGCACTCTGGGAGGCCAAGGTGGGTGGATTGCTCAAGGTCAGGAGTTCGAAACCAGCCTGAGCAAGAGCAAGACTCCATCTCTACTATAAATGAAAGAAAATTAATTGCAAAACTTTTAGTAGTTTAAGACTTCTCTCAGAGGAGGCTCTTGCATATTTGATTAAGGATTGTCTAGTAAGTTTTGACAGTTGTAAGTAGAAGCTTATGAAGTTCTCATATACACGATGGAGAAGATGGGCTATTAGACACAAAGGTGGTCTTTGTATATGGAAAGCCAATATCTATCAATTCTGAGACAGCAACTAGCAAATAATATCTGAAGCGTAAATGGATTTCTTACTTAAATGTTAAGTTTCCGTTATGTGTGCTTGCAGTTTCATCTTTTGCAAGGAGGTTGTGACGTGACTGCTAATTCTGATGTCTGTACTGCTGTGAAACAAAGCCAGGACTGCTTCAAGTCGGGCTGTCACGACCCCTGTCGCTGGGAAAGGGAGGCAGGCTGTTTGTAAAGGACTAAGTGCAGCTATTTATTTCTGATGCTTGGAAAATAAGTTAAAACTTTTTATAACAGCAGTTCTTTTTGTGTGTTGTTTTAAGAGGAAAAACACAATTTCTTTCTTTTCTAGTCATGAAGATGGACCCACTGCTAAAAAATGCAAGACTGAGGAAGGGGAAGCCCATTTTAGTGTCTCCAGCCTGGCAGAAGGCAGCGTCACCAGGGTAGGTAGAGCGTTTGCAGTGTGCTTCCCGGTTCTCAGGAAGGCTGGGGCTTGGGGAGATTGCATCATTTGTTGTTGGTCCATTCTTCTCTCTTTGAAATAAGATCATAATCACTTTCTCTGGTCCTCTCTCTGTATAAACCATAAAGGAGGCCTATCCTGAAGTTCTTTTCTTCCTTTAAGTAATTATTGTCATGAATTACCGATAGAATAACCTATATAATGTATAGGATGTAGAGCTCTCTATAATCTAATGAACATGAAACATCTCAGTGTTGAGATGTTTTTTGGGAAGAACTACAAAATCACCAAATGGATGGCTGGCCTTTTTCTTTTCAACAACTCAACTTCTAATCTTATTTCATTCTTCCTTGGGTTTGCATTTTCTTCCATTTTTGCCATGAAGGCTTGTGTGTTTATTTTTTATTCTACTTGCAAGGAAAAGAACTCTGGATGAACTTACCCTTTGATGTTTCCTGCCCCATCCTTCTGTCTTCTACTACCTCTTCTCGCTTCCAAAGGGAAAAGGTTAGTGTGAATAGAAAGATGTCAAGTAATAAAACTTTTAATTGTATATGTACCACTGTGGATGATTAACTTTTTCCTTTACCTGCCTGGAAGAGAAGATTCATATTGAAATACCATTGAGGAAGCCAGCTATGTCATTCATTTTAAGATAACCTCTTCTCCAAGCCTTGTTGTCTGGGATGTTGGGTTTTGAACAAAAAACCAACACATTTTAGAAATACTATCTTGAAAGTCAGTAGAGAGATTTTAACTGTTGTCACATAAAGAACATGATAAGTATGTGAGGTATCATATATGTTTAATTAGCTCATTTAGCCACCTCCACAAGTATATATATTTAAAACATATTGTACATGATAAACACACAATTTTTATTAGTCAATTAAAAAATTATTTAAAAAACAAATACTAGATATTGGTTACTAATTTCTCTTATCATTCGCCATTTCTTGACTGCTGCTTTTTTCAGATTGCTTGTTTCTCTGGCAGAAAAATCTTATGGTTTCCTGCATTTTAAGGGAGATTATGGACCTAGTCTTTGGATTTGATTTTCTTCCCTTTGCAATAACTTCACCTCCTCTTGACTTTAAGGCAGGCGTTAAAGCCAGCGTGTTCCTTGAGACAAGATGTTTGATACACTTTCTCAGAGTCATCTTTCCCTTAGCACACAGCTGCTTTTGGACTCTGTTAGCATATCGCCCAAAACAAAATTAGGTTTATAAAAGAACAATTAAAAGGTTTTTGAAGGGTTTTTTTTTCGTTGGTATTCTGTAGGATTTGTCCTCAGAAATAGCTAACGTTTACTGAACACAAGTACAATGCTGAGAGCTTTACATGTGTTACCCACTTGGATTCACTTGGCCAGCCTATGAAGGAGGTTCTTTTATTGACCCCCACCCATCTTAAAACTGAGGAGACTGAGGATTAGAGAAAATAAGGAACTTGCCCAGTGTCATAGTTGGTAAATGTTGAAGTAAGGATTTGAATGCAAGCAGTCTGACTCCAGAGTTTGCACTCTTAATCATAATGACATTTTGCCTTAGCAGTGTAAAGGCAAGATCTTTTATTATTTCATATGTAGGGCTTCAGAAACTACTAAATATCTATCTGTGGCCAAGATTTCCATCCTATCCACTGAATAGCTTAAATGTCTGTAGGTCCTTCAAGTTCAGAAATGTCTTTGTCATCTTCTTTCTCCTTCCACACTCTTTTCAAACCCTTCTTTATGCAATCATTCTTTATTTAAGTGAATGATGCCTAATTTCCTAGGAGTCATTCATATTCATTTTACATTCCATATGTAATTGGCTTACCAACTTGTATTAAAGTTATCTCAAATCCATCCTTTTTGCTTCAGGTTAGTATAGTGGCTAATAGCATTGATTTTGGAGTCAGATTTGGATCTAAACTCAAGCATTTCCCCTTAATAGCAGCTGAAATTGGCAAGTCACTCAGTATCAAGTGGCAATACCAAATACCTTCCTTTCTGGAGGCTGGATAGGAAAATGGTTAAGAGTTCAAGGTGAGTTTTGACCCCTTACTAACTGCATGCTTTAGACAAGGGATCGAACTCTTTGGGGCCTTGGTTTGCTTATCTGTAAAAGGACACTGGTAATAGCTAACTCATAGGGCTGTTACAAAGTTTAACTGAGATAGATGACTTAAATGTGCTAAGCATAGTGACTAGCACCTGGTAAGCATTAAAAAGAAATCTCAGCTGTTATTGACATTGCCCACTGCCATTGCTTTTATATAGGCCTTCTCATTTTAGCCTGATTCACCGAGCTAACCTCTTCACTGATTCCCCTCATTCCAGTCTTATCCCTTTCCAATCCCTTTCTACTACCCAAGTGACTTTTTAAAAAACAAATCTGGTCACATCACTCCTTTGCTTAAAATTCTTTTAAAGTAGTGATTCCTAATTTTGTGTGTGTGTGATGAACCTGTTTGATACAAAAGCTATGGACCCTCTCCCCAGAAAAATGCCCTAACATACCAAGTTTTGAATATAATTTGAGGTGGTTCACAGATTCTTTGATATTATCTTTGGATTCCTGGTTAAAATCCCTTGCTTTAGTGGATTCCTATTATCTTCAGCATAAGATCAAACTCTGTTGAACAAATGAGAAAACCCAGATAAGCAGAAAGAAAAGAAGCATCTGTCCATAATCCAGCTACCTAGAGAAAACCATTTTCTTTCCTTACATTTTTCATGCCTCATAATTTAATCTTTTCTAGCTCTATCTCTCACTGTTTCCTAGCTTGTACCTCATGCTCAAGCCTAATACAGCTACTTGCTATCTTCCAAAAGGGATATGCTGCCTATCACAGTATTTTGTTCATTGCCTGTTTAGGTATTCATTTTTATATTTGGCTGAACTTCTTGGAGGTGTTGATTATGTATTAATATTAATTTTGGTATATCTAGAGTTTAGACTCTAGCTTCGTGGCTGACATATAATAAGTATTGAGTAAATGTTAGGCTGAACAAGTGAATTACAAAATTTATACCTATTTGTGAAAGAAAATGAGAAAAACAAAGAACAAATTACTTGTGTCCCTACCATTCAAATACTGCAGCTGTTTAGATTTGTCTACTATGATCTTGTATGGAGAAATTTCTAGAGCTTATATAGAAATCTAAGAATAGAAGTTATATATTCATAGATAATGTAGGGATGAGAGTCTTTACCCTTTCCCACTTCACATAGACATCATGAGTTAAACATGTGCACAATTACTAATGCTGTTAAATGATTTGATCTGGAGAATATGAATCATATTAAATTTTCACTAGTTTTTGCTTATTTCTGGGGCTGTTTTTATCCACCTGGTTCTGGAGAATTAGTGTGGATGTCTCTTTATCCCTTCTTTCCTAGAATCTTATTTTGAAGGGCTTAAGAAATTCATAATATGCCGAAATTTAAAAAAAAAATTCTTCATATGATTCAAACATGTATTCCAGCAGAACAGAGCATAGTACTTTGTATAATACTTCTTAATGCTATTATATAAGTTCATTTGTATATTTGGAAAAGAACAGTATGGTATTTCATCATAGTGTTCTCCTAAGGAGCAAACTGAAGCTCAGAAAGGATAGTAACTTACTAGACTCTAAACTATAGATATACAAAAGTTAATATACAGCGAATATCTTCAAGGTGTAAGATTCCAGGGCTAGTCAGTGGCAAAATTGAGACTAACATCTGGGTCTTTCATCTCTAAATCTTCAGCAGTACCATGTTGTTGCCTGTCTCTTGGGAAGAACTAGCAAAATCTAACCAAAATGGATGGCTGGGACCTTTTTTCTTTTCAACAAACTCAACTTCTAATCTTATTTCATTCTTCCTTGGGTTTGTGCATTTTTCTTCCATTTTTGCCATGAAGGCTTTGTGTGTTTATTTTTTATTCTACTTGCAAGGAAAGAACTCTGGATGACTTACCCCTTTTGATGTTTCCTGGCCCCCATCCTTCTGTCTTCTACTTACCTCTTCTCTACTTCCCAAAGGGAAAAAGGTTAGTGGTGAATAGGAAAGATGTCAAGTAATAAAACTTTTAATTTGTATATGTACCACTGTGATGATTACTTTAGTTCTTTTACCTGCCTGGAAGAGAAGATTCATTATTGAAATACCATTGAGGAAGCCAGCTATGTCTTCATTTTTAAGATAACCTCTTCTCCAAGCCTTGTTGTCTGGATGTTGGGGTTTTGAACAAAAAAACAACACATTTAGAAATACTAGTCTTGAAAGTCAGTAAGAGAGATTTTAACTGTTGTCACTATAAAAAATGATAAGTATGTGAGGTAATATATATGTTAATTAGCTCGATTTAGCCACTCCACAAGTATATATATTTTAAAACATATTGTACATGATAAACACACAATTTTTATTAGTCAATTAAAATAATTTATTAAAAAACAAATACTAGATATTGGTTACTAATTTCTCTTATCATTCGGCCATTTCTTGACTGCTGCTTTTGTTCCAGATTGCTTATTGTTTCTCTGGGAGAAAAATCTTTATGGTCTGCATTTTAAGGGAGATTATGGACCTAGTCTTTGGATTTGATTTTCTTCTCCTTTGCAATTAACTTCACCTCCTCTTGACTTTAAGGCAGGCTGTTAAAGCCAGCGTGTTCCTTGAGGCAAGATGTTTGATACACTTTCTCAGAGTCATCTTTCCCTTAGCACACAGCTGCTTTTGGACTCTGTTAGCATATCGCCCAAAACAAAATTAGGTTTATAAAAGAACAAATTAAAAGGTTTTTTTGAAGGAGTTTTTTTTTTCTTTAGTAGTTTAAGACTTCTCTCAGAGGAGGCTCTTGCATATTTGATTAAGGATTGTCTAGTAAGTTTTGACAGTTGTAAGTAGAAGCTTATGAAGTTCTCATATACACGACGGAGAAGATGGGCTAACACAAAGGTGGTCTTTGTATATGGAAAGCCAATATCTATCAATTCTGAGACAGCAACTAGCAAATAATATCTGAAGCGTAAATGGATTTCTTACTTAAATGTTAAGTTTCCATTATGTGGCTTGCAGTTTCATCTTTTGCAAGAGGTGTGACGTGACTGCTAATTCTGATGTCTGTACTGCTGTGAAACAAAGCCAGGACTGCTTCAAGTCGGGCTGTCACGACCCTGTCGCTGGGAAAGGGAGGCAGGCTGTTTGTAAAGGACTAAGTGCAGCTATTTATTTCTGATGCTTGGAAAATAAGTTAAAACTTTTTATAACAGCAATTCTTTTTGTGTGTTGTTTTAAGAGGAAAAACAATTTCTTTCTTTTCTAGTCATGAAGATGGACCCACTGCTAAAAAATGCAAGACTGAGGAAGGGGAAGCCCATTTTAGTGTCTCCAGCCTGGCAGAAGGCAGCGTCACCAGGGTAGGTAGAGCGTTTGCAGTGTGCTTCCCACTTCTCAGGAAGCTGGGGCTTGGGGAGATTGCTCATTTGTTGTTGGTCCATTCTTCTCTCTGTGAAATAAGATCATAATCACTTTCTCTGGTCCTCTCTCTTGTATAAACCATAAAGGAGGCCTATCCTGAAGTTCTTTTCTTCCTTTAAGTAATTATTGTCATGAATTACCGATAGAATAACCTATATAATGTATAGGATGTAGAGCTCTCTATAATCTAATGAACATGAAACATCTCAGTGTTGAGATGTTTTTTTCTTTTTCTTTTTTTTTTTTTTTGAGACAGAGTCTTGCTTTGATGCCCATGATAGAGTGAGTGCCATGGCGTCAGCCTAGCTCACAGCAACCTCAAACTCCTGGGCTCAAGCGATCCTTCTGCCTCAGCTCCCGAAGTACCTGGGATTACAGGCATGTGCCACCATGCCCGGCTAATTTTTTCATATATATCAGTTGGCCAATTAATTTCTTTCTATTTATAGTAGAGACAGGGTCTCGCTCTTGCTCAGGCTGGTTTCAAACTCCTGACCTCAAGCAATCCGCCTGCCTCGGCCTCCCAGAGTGCTAGGATTACAGGCGTGAGCCACCACGCCCAGCCTGTTGAGATGTTTTTGTAGAGATTTCGTTGTTGGCTTTATTTTGCAGCTTTCCATTTAGTCAAAATGATAGGATAATGAGGGTTAATATATGAGTCTTAATCTCCCAGTATTAATACATAAAATTTAAGTTAGTATAGGTCCATTTCTTTTGTAATATAAACAACCTCAGAACAGGATTCACAAGTTTAAGTTTTCTCCAAACTAAGTATCTTTTGACACCTGAGATCTTTATTTAATGAGAAGGTTTTTGAAATTTGAAAATATTGCCTTGTTTTAAGTGGCATCAGTTTCAGTCAGTGAATCTTAAAAATTGTTCCTTATTGGCCAGGTGTGGTGGGTCACGCCTGTAATCCTAATACTTTGAGAGGCCAAGGAGGGAGGATTGCTTGAGGCCAGAAGTTCAAGACCAGGCTGGGCAATAATGAGACCTTGTTTCTATAAAAGACAAAAAAATTAGCTGGTTGTTGTGGTGTGCGCCTGTAGCTCCAGTTGCTCAGGAGTCTGAGGCAGGAGGATTGCTTGAGCCCAGGAGTTTGAGGCTACAGTGAGCTGTGATGATGGCATTGCACTTCAGCCTGGGCAACAAAGTGAGACCCTGTTTCAAAAAAAAAAAAAAATGTCCCTTATTAGCAAAATACACTAGGAAAGATAGTCATAAGACATTCCTTTATTCACACCTCAAATAGAAATTTTCCCGGAAAAAATTGAATGTCTGAAAAATGATTTGGATTTCATTTAGATTTTTTATATAGTAAAGGAAAAACAATCACGATTTTATTTGTTCTGAGAGCTTTTCTGGTTGCCATACCAGAGCAAACTGGAACATTTTGGGACCCCATTGTTTTCTTTCCTATGAGCTGGGTGGTACTTAGGCCTTGTTAGGGTTGGAACCAGCAGATTAAAGGCATAGGTATGATCAGAAAGGGCAGAGAGTTTCATCTTTAAAATTTTTCCACCTAGCCTGCAGTAAATCTCTTTATATAATCTGCTTTTATTTTTTGATAATGTGTTATAAACTTGGGCATGTTTATATTATATGTTATACCAAAACTTCAATGCCAAAAGGTCAGCATCAGTCTTCCAAAAAAGGATACTTCAGTGAATCAAGCATCAGTCTGTTATTTCTCATGTCATCTTAATGGGGCAAATGTATTCCGAACTGACCCGACACTGCAGGACCCTCTCCTTCCTAATTCGTTGACTGTCAAGATGTATGGGTAGTCTGTATTTCCTAAAGCCTTATGCTAGGCTGGCTGGTGGCTTAGATTGTAATACTTTTCTGACCCCTCTAGAAAGAAATAAGCTTCCTTAAAGAAAAGTGAGTGAAAATACAGAGGGCAGCTGTTTGACCGCTGGAATCTGCTAGCTTTTAACAGAGCCCTGGAAATGAAAATGAACAGAAACAGCCTTCTCTTTGTCTTTGGTTTTATATGAGCACATTTACTACATTAAGCCATCTTGTATTGCCTGGGGTGCTGCCAAAAAAAAAGACGTGACCTGCAGGTTTATTGTCTGTGGGTATATTCTAGGTTGGAAGCGTAAATCCTGCTGAAAACTTCCGTGTTTTAGTGAGACAGAAGGATGCCAGCTTTGAGGAAGGTAAGTGATATCCCATTGGCTTTGCATGTAAGAGAAGGTATTTAGTTAAATTAACTGATTTAAAATATGGATTAGTCAGTATAGCCTGTTGTTGTGATGCATTATACAGCATTTTCTTTTACTGGTAGTCTTTCTGATTGTCCCTTGTTAGGGGGCCACTGAGGTGACATTATGTGCACCTGAAGGTAAACTCAGCATAGATCTGCTAAACAGAGAACTAATATGTATGTCTCCCTGTTAAGGAAACTGTGGGTCAGAACCTTGGGGCTTTTAGTTCCATTTAATTAAAGTTTGGGGGGATCTTGTGAGTAAACTTGTAATAAAACGTTTCGTGTCATATCTTCCTATTTTCAGAGATGGAATTCTTGTTACAGTCCCAAGAATTTGGGCCCCAGTTATAGTAGTACCAGAAAGACCTTGCTGCTGCCCCTAAATTTGATCCTTCTCAGATCGACCACATCCCCACTTTTTCTTATCAGATATTACATAGAATTCCATTTAGGCTGTGGTTAATATCATAACAGCTTCTGGGAACAACATTCATTCACTCGATTGCTTTCAGGTTCCTGTTCATTTATCCTTTGAACAGTGGAGACTGGCAGTTGTTAATCCTGCAAGTTTGTGTATACAGTATTGCATTCATTATTGCTGCCACAGGTCAGGCCTTTCTGTGTGCTGCCTTTTATGTATGTGAGTGTTTATGTGTGCACAGAACTTTCTCTTCTAACATCTTGGCATGTTAGGGGAAAAAATAATTCTTAAATGTCCAGACACACTACTGGCTAGCATAGGTCTAAAGTACTTTACTACTTAGAGTCTGGGAGTCCTGGCAAGATACCCAGACCAATTGTGCTATTGCCCAAAAGGCAATCGTGACCAGCTGAGCCTCAGAGCATACAGTCAACCAGGCCAGATCTTGTCAGCAGGAATGTCCAAGGCCAAACGCATGAGAATTTCCCAAGGAAGACTAGCCTCATCATCATGGTAGTCTGCAGTCTTTTAAGTGGGGTGTGTATGTTTTGTGTTTTGAGATGGAGAAAGAGCTTTTTGCCCTGCTAAGGGTTTGCATATGGGAAAAAACTTTTGTGTTTTCCCAAAACAAAACTTCATCTAAATAGAAGAGGGAAATCTAAAATTCTACATGACAGTGTTCCATAAGGATTGGTAGAAACAGTACTTTAGAATTTCCCTCTTCCGTGCATTGGGGTGATCAAAAAAGACTTCCAGAGCATTGTGCCTTTGCTGTTGTCTGTTAGCTTTATATTATGACTATGGGTTTGGAAGGGGACAGAGATAACTGCTGTGACAAGTCAATAAACTCTGTCTCATGATTATTGTGTTTTTTGAAAGAAGAGTGAGACCTTCTTAGCTTTTGATTTATGTTGCTATTACCTTGGCCAGTCCAAGTCCAAGATCTTCCCTTTGGAAGTGATGAGTCTCCCAGGTTGCCGTAGACATGATCTTTTCAGGACTAAACCTAGTTGACATAAACATTGTATGGTAGCCACTATTTATTTTGTATCTACTATATACAAGACATTGTGCTAGCATGTTATTATATTCTTTATTTATCCATAGCAGTTCTGCAAAATCATGTGAAGAAGTAGAGAAAAGTTAGAGCTTTAACAGCTGGTGCCAGAATTTTCTGAAAGAGAGAGTTGTTTTTATTGGGAAGATACTTTGATAAGTGCTTAGGATAGAGAATGAGTCTCTGTCTCCAGACTTGGAAATTGGCCAGTACTGAGGCTTTAGAGGCGGGGGTAATTCTGTAGCATCATAGAAGTAGAAAAGCTGGAGCTACTTCAGGAGAGGAGGGGCTGAGGAAAAGAGCTAAGAGGAAGGGAGTGAATTTACACACTGCACAGCCTTCTACATATGTTCCAACTCATGGCCACAAGTACTCAGTGTCAGTGACACTCTGGAAATGCTAGGTGTAAGTGCTATATTCGGGGAAGCTGGAAGAGGCAGAGTTTGGCATCTGGCATTACTTCACACACAGCAGAGAAAGCACCTGGGAACACAGGAAGCCAGAATCAGAAGAGACCATGAGAGTACTGTGTTTTCCGAAAATAAGACCTACCCATAAAATAAGCTCTAGCAGGATTTCTAAGCATTTGCGCAATATAAGCCCTAACCCCAAAATAAGACCTAGTGATGAGCGTGGCTACGCAGAGTATCTGCACAACCCACACATTTCGTTGTGGAGCGGTAAAGAAGATGAGCAGCCCTTCTCCTCTGCCCCATCATGACAGCTACTATCCCAGAGGTGACTGGAAAAGTGCGGGCAGCCCTACCAACAAGGTCGGCTCCCCCGTCAGGTCCTGGCCATCCTGTGCGTGCTGCAAGCTGAGGCTTTGAGGGGGAAAATAACACATCCCCTGAAAATAAGCCCTAGGGTGTCTCCTTAAGGAAAAATAAATAAAAGACCCTGTCTTATTTTCGGGGAAACAAGGTAAATTCTTGAGAATTTGTTCACATCTTAGGAAAGCATGGTTCTCCCCAGGCCATGGGGTTGGGGATTTGAAGCAGTTTGATAAAATAACAAGGACAAGTGGACCCTAGATGGCCAATAAGTTACAATAAGTATTATTATCCCCATTTTGTGGGTAGAAAAACTAAAATTGGAAGAGATGAGCTTCCCCCAGAATCACAGGGATTCAAACCCATGTCTCTTTCAAATACTAGATTTCTCTACTTAGCTATACTGTGTCTCCTGATTCCTAATGCCATCCTTTCCTATACTTTTAAAAAACATTATAAGGTGTTGTACCTAAAACCTTATGCCTATAGATAGGACTTTTGATGTGTAAACTGTCCTTTTACATTGAATGTGACTTTGAGTCCCAGCACGTTGCTAGCATTTTGATGGTGGCTGTCCCTCTGTATCTCCATCTAGGACTTGGCGAATCAAAGCTCTTCAGTGACGGCACAAAACCAGACTTGCTGCAGAGCTGTCAAAAAACAAGACTGCCTGCTTGTTAGCAACTAGCTCTGCCCTGTGATTCTAACTTGTCTTTCCTTATCCCCCTCCTCCCTTTCTTGCTTCCAGCTCCAGAAATTTTGTCTCTCTGTTCCTTGTCCTGCCTTTGTTCTTCTGGTTGGGAATCTTTTTATCAAGGACTCTTGCAAGCCCAAAGAGTACTCCCTCGGGTACTCCCTCCAAATTTTAAGCTGTCTGCCTGGTAGTGATCTTCTCTTTGAGAGATCTCTGTCCAGGGTGGGGAGAGGGGAAGCCCTTCCCTTTTCTCCAGTTTATCTATATATTCAGTTCAGTTGCCAAAAGTGTGATCAACAATAGATAGTTGGTAAGATTGTTTTATCCTTAGGTAGAACTTGGCTATTTCACCTGTTGTTATAAAGTAAAATATGGGTGTCGTTACTTTCTGTGGGGCCTAATAGTAGCATAGTCAAACCAAGAGAGTATGATGATCCTCTCCCTTGACATCAGCAGTCTATAGTAGGCAGCTACCCATTTTCTTACCTTCTAGTTTTTAGTACTCGGGATGTTTCTTGTTCCAAGCTTATTGGCAGAGAGGAGATAACTTAGGCTCTGAAGCCCCCACGCCCCCACCCCCGGGAAAGTGTTCTTCCTGGCTGCCAGTGCTTTTGCGAGCCGTCCTTGATTCTCTGTTGGGTTCCCTTCTTTTTCCAGTCCCTTTCCTCCTCCTTCCCCACCTAAACCACCACCGTTCTGTCACCACAGCGTTACAGTAGAAAAAATTCTTGACGATCTATCAGTTGTGAGAGTAGGGTTGTTTCCCTGCGTACACTGTTCATGACATCATCGCCATCATCTATGATCTATTCTGTGGCTGCCACAGAGTCCGCAGTGGCCCCTCTGAATGAGTTTATCCACTTACTTGAATATTCTCCTCCTTAGTCGATCAGCAGAGGTGCTGAGGAGAAACAGTCTTAACTTCTAACTCCCAAGGAGTTGAATTCCCAACTCCTTATCTTTCCCTTCTTTGACTTAGGAAGAATGCAGAAATGGTCTCAAGAGAGCAAATTGAAGAAGGAAAAGTCACATTACTTTAATCCTCCAAATAATTCCTGTGTAATTAGTCTGAATTTATAAATTCCCGCTGAATATGGAGCATTATGTACAATAGTTTGAATGTCCCCGGTGTGTCCAAAACAGGTTCTTTGAGGACCTTAAGAGCCAGAAAAGGTGGGTATATGAGAACAGATGACAGGATGGAATGTGGGCTGGGCGAGGTGGCTCATGCCTGTAATCCTAGCTCTCTGGGAGGCCGAGGCGGGTGGATTGCTCAAGGTCAGGAGTTCTAAACCAGCCTGAGCAAGAGTGAGATCCCGTCTCTATTATAAATAGAAAGAAATTAATTGGCCAGCCAAAAATATATAGAGAAAAAATTAGCCAGCCATGGTGGCGCATGCCTGTAGTCTCAGCTACTCCGGAGGCTGAGGCAGAAGGAATTGAGCCCAGGACTTTGAGGTTGCTGTGAGCTAGGCTGACGCCACGGCACTCTAGCCTGGGCAACAGAGTGAGACTCTGTCTCAAAAATAAAAAAAGGATGGAATGTGACTTATTTTATACTAAGATGATTCTCTCTTTCATGGGCCTTGTCTTTGCCACTTAGATTATAGGTTCTATATTAGGCTTCTGCATAGTGACAAGGTGGCAGAACTACATTCCACCCAATTGAATTCTCATGAACATGACTAGATTTAAAAAAAAAAAAAAAAACCATACCTGTCAAGAGAAGACATCCTAAGTAGAAATGGCACAGACCCCCAAACAGCTGGTATTTAACAGTAGATTTACGAGCAAGTGAACAGTAATGTGCACTTGTCTATTTGATTAGAAGATGATCAATTTAATCTGTGGCTGCTGAAGCATTTAATTTCTCTCATTTTTTCCCCTCTTTTCACTTTGTTTGGATCACATCTCATCCTCAAGTCTTTTTGCCTTTGTTCTCCAACCTACCTTATTGTCATTCATCAAAAACAGCATTTTAATTTTAAAAGAGATTTCCAAAAATTCAAGTCCTTCCAGCACAAGATAGAATATGGTACAGTTAGTGATAAAATGGTATTATTCATCAAAGCCAAACAGACAGTTTTTCAATCGTGTTTTTGTCAGGTGTAACACTGTCCTGTTTGCACAGCAGTTTACTTACATAGGTTATGTGATTTTCTGCCGTGAGTCAGTCAAGTCCTACCAGAGTTGGGGAACCTGCAGCCTTCTGATTTAAAGATTGTTCTTTTTTAAGCACCAAAAGAGGCAAGAAAGCTTCATCTTTCTCTGCTGCACCCCTTTTAATAAAAGGGTTTGTTCTGTAAAATTTGGATTCAGTTAAAAGGCTGCACTTAAAGACCTAGAAGGCCATATTTCACCTTAAGGCCGCAAGTTCTCCCCCCTAGCCTGTGTGGATCCTCGAGAATTGTGATTGAGGAAAAATTTCCCGTGCATGTATGTTTTCTTTTTTTAATTGGCCTTGATTTATGTAATCTTGGATGTGAATTATTATTGAACCTTGCTCAAATAAAGATAAGAAGGTAAAAATATGACCTTTATCTAAACAGAGCTGGTACATTTAAGAAAAATAAATTCTGTCAAATACCTTAAACATCTTAGTAATACTAAATACTGTGTTTCCCCGAAAATAAGACTTACCCATAAAATAAGCCCTAGTAGGATTTCTAAGCATTTGCGCAATATAAGCCCTACCCCGAAAATAAGACCTAGTGATGGGTGTGCTATGGAGCGGTAATGAAGACAGGCAGCCCTTCTTATCTGCCCCATCATGACAGCTACTATCCCAGAGGTGACTGGAAAAGTGTGGGCAGCCCCACCAACAAGGTCGGCTCCCCCTGTCAGGTCCTGGCCATCCTGTGTGTGCTGCAGGCTGAGGCTTTGAGGGGAAAATAACACATCCCCTGAAAATAAGCCCTAGGGTGTCTTCTTGAGGAAAAATAAATACAAGACCCTGTCTTGTTTGTGGGGAAACATGGTACAAACAGTGACTAAAATTTTAAACATCTTTAGCCCTATAAAAGTTTTTTTTAACTATTTGACATACTTTCTTAGTGCTTTCCCAGAATAGTACTGTTATGCATCTCATCATGAGAGAAAATACATGATTAAGGATTTCAGAGCTTTACTCTGTACTCCATATTTTTTATTAAATATTTCACTTGTTCTTCACTGGATTCCTTTTTTGACTTGTTTTAAATTGTTAAACCACAGAACTTGATGATCCGGGCTTATTTTGTGCCTTCTTTATCAAGACTAGTCTCATTCTAACACAAAAGTCAGTCTGTTTGGAATTGCAGAAGATACCTTTAGGTACCTAAAGTGGTGTGTTATTACTTGATGTGGTAATTACACATCAGTGGGCCTTCAGGGTCTTGTTCATCTTCTGTGTGGGTACACTGGAGCCCAGAGTAGTTAGGATGGCTTTCCACAGATTATTGCAAATGTGTGGAAGACACTGGATCAAATTCCAGAGAGCCAGTTCTTGGCCTCTTGTGCCTTAAACTTCTGCATTTGTTGCATATATTTCATTAGATGGCACAGCACTACCCTGAAGTTTATGTTTTAATATTATAGAACTCCCCAGCCAAATCATTAAAATGAAAGCATTGAAATAAAGACGAAAGGAAAAAATAAAGAAGACATGGCATAGAAATCAAAGATCATCATATGCACATAACCATTTTTATATTAAGTGTTTTTGTTTTTCAGCAACTCTCCCCAAAAGGCTTCCATCCATTCTTACTCAGCTTCTAAAATCCTTTCAAGTTCCTGTCAATCTATGTATCAGAATATCCCTAATTACAGGGTATGGCTCTTGTAAAATGTAGCCTAGCTGTCCATTAAGAAAGAAAGACAACTGGCAGCATAAAATTGAAAGCATCTTTGATATAGTTATGTTCTCAGTGCTTGGATTTCTTCCTGAGAGCATTAAACAGAGTCTATATGTAATATATGACAGCGTTCCTATTTTCTCCCAATGTTTTGTTTTTTTTTATGCTACATAGTAAAGTTGCTTGCCTTAAACCTGCTGAGCAATTTTTCTCTTTTTATGTTAAAAGCGGAAAGGATATTTTTCTCTCTGGCTGAAAATGTGGAATTCTTGAACGCTGTCCCAGCGTCAGAACAACTAGAAGAGCCCGAGTCCATTCAAGCCTGCATTTAACATACTGAACTGCTGGCTTGCACTGATGACCCGGGCCACCATCAGGGCAACAGCAAAGTGCTTACAGTCAGCTCTGATAGAAACAGAATTCATGGGTGCTTAGGAGAAAGGGTATGTCATCCAACTTGCTGTTGCTCACGAGCATGATTTGTGAGGCAGAGAGCAGTTCAAGTACTTACTCATGGCAGTTTGGTTCTTTCTCTCTGCCTCCTATAAATTCTGCAGTTCTTCCTTCCATGGTGCATCATTGTCATGCAGGGCATTGCACTTCGTTCTCCTTAATATTGGGCTGTCTTCAAGATTGCTTCGTAAGCCCAGCTGGTTGAAAAAGGAAACTGATTTCAGATTGTGCTGATGTGCAAACTGCTTTAATCAATGACTTAAAGTGACTGCTGGTGGCAAACAACAGAAGCTCTTAACCAATTAGGATGTTTAGGAAAAGATGTTGGGCTTTTGTTAAAATAGTCACTAATCAGCTAAAATGTGTTAACAGGAGCCTAGAAACAGCTTGGAGCTCTACTTAAATGTAATAAAAGTGTTTTGTCCTCCCCTTTCAAATTGCAAGCCCAAGGCAAAAAATATGCTGACACAGAAAAAAGTGGCAAGTATAATTTGGTTCAGTTAGTCCTGTTAGATCTTTGTGTATCTACAAAAAACCTAAAAAAAAAAGGCATGCTTGCCTTCTTTGCCTAGAAAAGGGTAGGGAGTTTGATTCCAATATAGAACACAGTTTCAACAGGCCTTGAGAATATTACCAGCATAGATGTCTTTGGAAACAGGAGAAAAATTAGTTTTTTTGTTGTCAGTTTCCTTATGGACAGTTGGAGAAAAATCTTCAGTTAGTAGCTATGATTATGATTAAAGACCCATTTTTGTTTTCCTTTGTCAGATTAAACTGCTGAAATCTTGTAATTATCTGTTTATGTCTTTCAGTGGTAATGAGGTTCAGCCATAACACTCAAGATAGTCACTGTATTTCATTGGTAGGCCGTTGGAGTCAGGAGCCTTTGCTCATATGAGAACTACCTTTCATAATTCTCTTGCCCTTGGAATCGAGTAATGCTTTCTTGGGGCATTGAGGGTAAGATTTGCTGTCTAAGCTTTAATAGTTATTCTGTAGTAGAAGCATCTAATGTCTCCCTCCTGTCTCCCTCCTCCCTCCAAGTCTCTTAGATAAGTTGCATCTATTAATTCCGGTTTTTTAATGTCTTTATTGAAGTAAAATTTTCTATAAAATGTACTGGTAAGTATTATACAATTTGGCGATCTTTTGTAAATTTATAGGGTTGTATAATCATCACCACAATCCAGCTAAAGGACATTTCTCTCACCCCAAAAAGTTCCCCATTCCTGTTTATACTCAGTTCTTATTTCTGCTACTTTCTGTCTCTATGGATTTGTGTGTTCTAGAAATTTTACACAAGTGGAATTGCTCAATATACAGTCTTTTTGCATTTGTTTCTTTCACTTAGCATGTAATTTGAGGTTTATCCCTGTAGGTATATCAGTAGTTAATTTCTTTTTATGGGTGAATAATATTCCATTCATGGATATGCCACATTTTGTTTATTTATTCATCAGCTGATGGGCATTTGGATTGTTTCCAGTTTAAGGCTTTTATAAAATTGTGTTGCTAGGAATATTTGCATGCAAGTCTTTGTATGTTTTTGTTTTTCTTGGGTAGGAGTGGAATTGCTGGGCCATATGGAAAGTTCACAGCCAAACTCTTTTCAAAAGTGGCTTATCAGTTTCTGTCCCCATCAGCAACATATGAGGATTCCAATTTCTTCACATGTTTAATAACACTGGTGGTGTCAGCTGTTTGCAGTGTTTGTTTTTTTTCACTGTGGTTTTAATTTGCAGTTCTTGAAAAACTAAGGATTTTTTTCACGTGCTTATTAGCCATGCATGTGAAACATCTGGTGAAATATTTGGTGAAATATCTATTCATGTCTTTTGACTAGTTTTTAATTGGGTTGTCTTATTACTGAGATGTAAAGAGTTCTATATATATTCTGAATACAAGTCCTTTATCAGATACATGACTTGCACATATTTTCTGCCACTCTGTGGCTTGAGTTTTTTTTTTTTTAATAGTGTCTTTTGAAGAGTAAAGTTCTTAATTTTGATTAAGTCCAGTTTATCATTTTTTCTTTTATGGGTTGTCATTTGGTGTCATATATAAGAAATATTTGCCTAGCCCAAGTCACAAAGATTTTCTTCTATATTTTCTTCTATTTAAGTCTATAATCTGTCTTTAGTTGATTTTTGTGAATAATTATGAGGTAAGGGTCCAGGTTCATTATTTTACCCTGGGGATAACCAATTGTCTCAGCACCATTTGTTGAAAAGACTGACCTTTTCCCATCAAATTGCCTTGGCACATTTGTTGAAAATCAATTGACCATAAATTTAAGGATTTATTTCTTCAATTCTGTTACATTGATCTATATGTCTATTTTCCCTCATACACCGTTTTGGTTACTGTAACTTTATCGTGAGTTTTGAAATCATATTCTAGATAGTCCTCTGACTCTGTTATCTAAAATTGTTTAGTCTACTCTAGGTCTTTTGCATTTCCATATAAATTTTAGGATCAGCTTTCAATTTAGGGATTGCCACAAGTATATAATAATTAAGGGAGAATTGCCATGTTAACGATATTGAGCTTTCTAATCCATGAACATGGACTATTTCTCCATTTATTTAGATCTTGTTTACTTTCCATAATGTCTTATAGTTTTTAGTTCACAAGTCTTAAACTTTCTTAAATTTACTACCAAGTATTTTATTCTTTTTGATGCTGTTGGGAATGGAATTACTTTTTTAATTTTATTTTTGGATTGTTTGTGGCTAATATAGAGAACTGTGATTACTTTCTGTTTATTGATCTTATATCCTGCAACCTTATTAAACTTATTTTTTAGTTCTAGTAGTTTTTTTTTTATGTATATACTCCTTAGGATTTTCTACATACAGGATCATGTTGTCTACAAATAAAGTTTTACTTCTTCCTTTATAACTTATGCCTTTTTTGGAGGGGGGCGGGACAAAGTCTCATCCTGTTGCCCCAGGTGGAGTGCAGTGACATCATTGTAGCTCACTGCAAGCTCTAACCACTAGGTTTAAGGGATCCTCCTGCCTCATCCTCCTGAATAGCTGGGACTATGGGTGTACGCCAGGGCACCAGCTGATTTTTCTATTTTTAGTAGAGATGGAGTCTTGCTGTGTTGCTCAGGCTGATCTTGAACTCTTGAACTCAAGCAATCCTCCCGCCTCAGCCTCCCAAAGTGCTAGAATTAGAGGCATGAGCTACCCGGCCCTGCCACTTATATGCCTTTAATCTTTTTTTCTTGATTGTATTGCTTGAAATTTCTAGTGCAGTGTTGAATAGAAACAGTGGGTAAATATCCTTACCTTGTTCCTGATCTGAGGAGGAAAACTTTGTTTTCACCATTACTATGATGTTAGTTTTAAGTTTTTCCAGATTCTCTTGTCAGCTGGAGGAGGTTTCCTTCCATTTCTAGTTGGTTGACAGTTTTTATTATGAATGAGTTTTGAGTTTTGTCATATGCATTTTCTGTATCTATTGTGACTATTGTGTGGTTTTTATTCTTCTCTTAAATCATGTATCATATAATTGATTTTTAAAATTTACTCAACTTTGCATTTCAGGAATCAATTCTAGTTAATCATAATATAAAATCTTTTTTATGTGTTCTGGATTCTTTTTGGTAATGTTGAGGTTTGACTATGCCCCCCAAAGTTCATGTGTTAGGAACTTAATGCACATTGTAACACTGTGGAGAAGTGGGACCTTTAAGGGCAATTAGGTCTTGGGGGCACCACCCTCATGAATGGATTAAGGCCATTATCACATGAGTCTGTTAGTTGTAGAAAGGACAAGTTCAGCTCAGTTTCCTCTCTCTGTCTCTTGGCATGGAATGACCCTCGCAGATTCTGACACCATGCTTTGAACTCCACAGCTTCCAGAACTGTGAGCTAAATAAATAACTGTTCTTTCATAAACTGCTGTGGTCTCAGGTATTCTGTTATAACAGCACAAAACAGCACTGACCAACGCAGCTAATTAATACTTTGTTAGGATTTTTGTGTATATGTTCATGAGGGACATATGTTTGTGTGTGTGTGTGTGTGTGTGTGTGTGTGTGTGTGTGTGTGTGTGTATCTGTATTTTTCTGGCTTTGGCAACAAAGAAATACTGGACTCATAAAATGAGTTAGGAGGTTTCCTTTCCTTTTCTTTGGGATTGTTACTATTTCTCCTTTACGTATTTGATAGACTTTACAGGTAAAGCCATCTGCACCTGGGTTCTTTGTGGGAAGCTTTTTAATACTAATTTGATTTTTTTTTTAACTTACAGATCTACTTGGAGTTTTTATTTCTTCTTAAATCAATTTTGGTAATTTATATCTTTGTAAGGATTTTGTCCATTTCATCTAAGTTGTCTAATTTGTTGGCATGACATGGTTCATATTATTATTCCCTTATAATAATTTTGATATCTATTACCTATTTCTGATTTGGGGATTTTGTATCTTTTTCTTGGTCTGTCTAGGTAAAGGCTTATAAATTGTATCTTTTTGAGATCTTAGCTTTTAGTTTTATTGATTTTCTTTATTATCATTCTCTTTTTATTTAATTAGTTTCTGCTCTGATCTTTGTTAGTTCCTACTTCTTGTTTTGGATAACTTGCTCTTCTTTTTTCTTGTTTCTGAACATAGAAGCTTTAGATTATTGATTTCAAACCTCTTTTCTAATATAGGCATTTAAAGCTATACATTTACTTTTAAGCAGTACTTTATCTGCGCACCATAAATTGTGTTGTGTTGTGTTTTTGTTTTCATTCGGTTCACATATTTTCCAATGTCTTTTGCAATTATTTATTTCTTTGACACTTGGATTATTTTGAAGTATATTTTTAAGTTCCCAATATTGAGTTTTCCAAATTTCTTTCTGTTGTTAATTTTTAATTTAATTCTGTTGTAATTGGAGAACATATTTTGAATGGCTTTAATCCTTTTAAATTTATTGAGACTTGTTCTGATGCCTGGCATAGACTGTTCTGACAAATGTTCCCTGTGGCCTTAAAAGGGGCAGGTATTCTGCTGTTGTTGGCTCAACTGTAAATATCAGTTAGGTCAGTTTGGTTGATAGTTTGTTCACGTTTATGTCTTTGTTGATTTCTTGTGTAGTTGTTTTCCATGAAGTTTTGAGTATTGAAAGTTGCTTACCTTGATATCCTGTGTGCTGGTGAGACCTTTGTATTTTTTTGCCTCACCTGGCTAACTCAGCTGGGCCAAGAGATTCAATTGAATTTATACAGAGGACCAGTGCAGGTAATAGGGTGCACTATTTTTAGTTTGTTAGATAGATAGACACATACATACATGCATACAGGGTCTTGCTCTATTGCCCAGGCTGGAGTGCAGTGGTGACATCATAGCCCACTGCAGCCTCAAACTCCTGGATTCAAGTGCTCCTCCCACCCCAGCTTCCAGAGTAGCTGGACTAGAGGCATGCTCCCAGGTAATTTTAAAAAACTGTTTTTTAGAGACGGGGTCTCATCATGTTGCCTAGGCTGATCTCGAACTCCTGGCCTCAAGTGATCCACCCACTTCAGCCCCCTAATAGCTAGGATTACAAATGTGAGCCATTGCACCCAGCTAAAGTGCATTTTATATAAAGGCCTTCAACTGATCAACACCTAACTGGACTTATAGGAATAACATTTATCGGGTGTCGGGTAGGTGGGCGGGGGGAGGAGGGGATGGGTATATACATACATAATGAGTGAGATGAGTACCATCTGGGCGATGGTCACACTTGAAGCTCTGATTTGAGAGGAGAGGGGGGACAAGGGCAATATATGTAACCTTAACATTTGTATCCCCATAATATGCTGAAATGAAAAAAAAATAAGAAAAATAAACTTAGATACATGTATGCAAGATTATGTTAGTGTTTTGGGAATCTTTTGCTTCTTGGGAAGAATTCCTTTATATTAGTACAGAATAAGCTTACTCAGTACAGGAAAAATTGTGTAGGTTTAAGGAATTTGTTAGAGTGGAAAGGTGATTTGTTGTGAGAAATGAAAGTTAATTTTAGTGACAACAGTTATTTTGGTATATTAAGTCTTAGATCAATATTTATAGATTTGGAAAAATTTTAGGTTCATTATTTTTCCTTTCATTTGTTTCTTCTTTTGTGCCACTTTTCTCAAGCATGTGTTTATTTTGTTTGATTCATTATTTGTCTCATATACTGAGAAGAAAATATATATGCAATAACTAAAGTTGGATTATCCCATAATTTGTACCATTTCTAATTACTCTTCTAAGTCGTGAAGCCAGCACGACTTAGAATTGGAATTTTAAATATATAGGATTATAAGGAACATAGAATCCACAAACCAAAGATTTGCCTACGGCAAATCTGCTTCAAATTAGTAGACTTTCATGAGGACAGCAGATGAAATGAAATCATTTCTAAGGTCCTTTTTACCTCTGCTCTTTAAGTATATGAGTAACAAACAGAAAGAGCAAGGTCCATGGTACAGAAAGAATAAAACAAAAAAGAGATAAAAAGATGAATGAAATAGAAGTATTCTGAGTATCACCATCAGTAAATGTGAACCTATGAAAATGTCTTTCCATTTAAAAATTCACTGGAAAGAGAAACAATTGTTTGTTGTCTGCTTATACTACAGTCTCTTATGTGTTTCATGATGATTTAATTATTCCTTGGGCTTTTTCCTCATTAAATAAGTACATGCTCATGTGTGTTCATGATATCATCTTCACAAAAATGTACATTCTTCTCTCTCACCCCTAAACCCCACTCTAAAGAGATGCCCATGATTTGAGAACCTGTATATTTTTGGGTACAGTTTGGGTAACTGTTTGGCTGCAGTTTCATTTAACTATGATGCATTGTCATAAATGCTGCTGCTAGTCTACCATCAGTGAGACAAAACAACTGTCATCTGTTGTTATGTTCTCTGAGTATTGCTGGCTAGTAGTAGTTTTTGGTTTCTATTGTCTACTTTAACAAACAGTGCTTAGGAGTAATAAGAGTTTGAATTTTTGATTTACAGCAGATTTACTTCTCTGGTTCTTTGGATCAATTCTTAAGTCTTAGCCCCTTCAAAGAAGAAGTAGAGAAATATAACATTTCTGTATTTTTAGCTCTAGAATATTATAAAACTTTCTTTATAAAACCAGAAAAGGAGAGAGGGGAGAAAATGAAAGGGGAAAAAAGAAGAGTCTGAGAGGTCTAAGGAAAGATGTCATATAAACACAAGGCATCATTTTTTGTCAGTTTTTAGAAGGATTTACCACATAGGATATGGTCCTTCTAAAATTTCTGGTACCTAATATGTCCTTTCAAGAATGACTCAAATTCTCGAGGCATCTGAAACATTGCGAGCTGCCTCCCTCCTCCAATATCCACAAAAGCGCATTCAGCTGTTGGCGGCCTGTTTCTCTGCTTGCTGAGGAGTCTGACTCATCACTCACTGTCGTGAGTTTGAATTCCATTCAATTACCAACTTTTAATTGGATCCCATTGCCAGACTGGTCTCCTGTTCCAGAGTGTTTCCTCTTGGCTGCACTGTTACTATGGCTACTGGGCTGCTTCTGCTTACTTCCTGTATTAGCGTGATGACATCTACTCAGGTATGAAGCGGGACAGATACTATAAAATTGCTACAGTACCAAACACTATTATCTTCCTTTCATCCTCCTGTCTACAGCCCATATGGAATGGAATCAAGTTGGAGTGGTATGGTTCTTAATTCTTCTATATCACTTTTATTTTAGTAAGTCTCACCAACTTGCAGAATTCTAGGACCCTGGAAAATTGTGGAGATCCTTTCTCTTCTCTCCTAACCCCTCACTTTCCATCTCCAACACATTTTTTCAGGCATATGGAATATACATTACGTAAGCCAAGAAATAACTTTGTTTAATAAGAAAGTATTTTTTTAGTTTCTTATGTTAACATAATGTCTCAATATTGTATTTTAAGTATACTCCTTTCTGGAATTTTGGAAAATTAGTTACACTAGATAATGATGTTCTTTGGTCTTTAGCTAACTGCTATATTCCCTATAAATATTAATTGATGACCTTCAGGCTTTGTGGGACATGTTTATTGGGTCTTATATGGTTAAATAGAATGTTTTTGATAAAAAATGACAAGACCATAGAATGCCATGGAACCTAAAATTTGCCAGCTGACCTGGGAACAGATCTGTTCTTACACTCAGCTTGTTTAAGATGAGAAATGTTATTGCATCCAGAATAAAAATGATACATCAATGATGTTCTCTTACATAAAAAGAGCTTAAATTAAGCCAGTGGGCTAACTGGATATCACTTTTCTAGTTTCCCATTAGCTGACAGTACCATGTTTGTTCTACAGAGTACGCCAAGGCCAAGAGAGCTTCAAGAGCTTTCTTCCTGTGGCTGTAAAGTAGGACTCACAGTTAGCTCAAATAAAAACAAAAATAAAACCAGAGAGATCTCATGGTCTGCAGGAATGGATTCTGACAATAAAGACTTTGCATTTACTCTGCTACTTGTGCCTGGGGTTTTAATTTAACACATCAATGAAAAGGCAACATTTAAAAAGGGGGGAAACACTCAGCAGGACTTACTTTTATTAGTGCAATTTGTAAGAAATTACTGCACTTAATGAGAAAATCTTTAAGCATGAAAAAATGGGTTGTGACTGAACTTGTGGAACTTAAATGGTGAGATTTTAATTGAGTTTTTTAGTTATTGGTAAGAAAAATAATAATAATTAAAAACAAAAAACCAGGGCTACATCTGTATGTGGAGGTGGTCAGCACTTTATATACCTTAGTTCAATTTCCTGTGCCACTGGTCATGCAGAAGATTATGGCCATGGTGTTCTCTGCGTCATATTTACTGACCTTTTCTGTTCTTAAAAGGGAAGCAGGCAGCTTCTTTTTTGCTAGATGAGGAAGTTTGGGACAAAGAGTCTGGGAGAACAGTTTCTAAAAGGGGGACAAACTAGACAGGGCAAAGAGCAGAGCTGTGTCTGCTTCGTAATCCAGCTGCTTTAAAAAGAAGCCAAATTTAAATGTCTTTTTCAAGTTCATAAAGTTTATACTTTTTCCCAAATTCTCCATTTCTTTTGTTGCTTTCCAGTGATTACTTTTTCCTCTATAAGAATATTTCGGGGAGGGGGGGAAATGGGCATTTATTGAAACCTTAAAATCTGTACCCCCATAATATGCCAAAATAAAAAAAATAATTAAAAAAATAAAAAAAATAAAAAGAATATTTCATTAGAAGGCTCGGTGTGGTGACTACACCTGTAAACCTCACACTTTGGGAGGCTGAGGCAGGAGGATTGCTTGAGGTTAGGAATTCGAGACCCACTAGAGCAAGAGTGACACCCCGTCTCTACAAAAAAATAGAAAAATCAGCTGAGTGTGGTAGTAGGCACCTGTAGTTCCAGCTACTCAGAAGGCTGAGGTGGGAGGATCGCTTGAGCCCCAGAGTATGAGGTTGCTGTGAGCTATGATGATGCCACTGCACTCTAGCTGGGGTGACAGAGACTCGTCTCAAAAAGAAACACACACACACACACTAAATGTTTTAGTTAAAGAGTTATACTGGAAGTGGAAGAAGAAGGATAAAAAGAAATAAGTCCTCATGTCTTTTGTCATTTAGAGAAAAAATATTTAAGATGCCTTCTTTTTGTATTTAAATTTCAGAAGTACGTTTGATTTCTGAGAGGACGTGAACACCATGGGAAGTACTCAGTTGTTTCTAGTACCTCTTGTTCATTGTCACAGCCCCCACAGTTATGGCACAACCATGTTAAACCTAAAGGAAAGGGAAGCGTATGTAGCTCTAAAGATGTTGCAAGTATTAATAGAAGTAGAAATAATATTTTTTACATAATTCAGTTTCTATAGAAATATAACTTTTTTAAAAAAATTAAATATGCTTCTGAACCTTTTCAATAACTTTTCTTTTTTTCTTTTTTTTTTTGAGACAGATTCTCACTGTGTTGCCCGGGCTAGAGTGCTGTGGCATCAGCCTAGCTCACAGCAACCTCAAACTCCCGGGCTCAAGCAATCCTCCTGCCTCAGCCTCCCGAGTAGCTGAGACTACAGGCATGTGCCACCATGCCTGGCTAATTTTTTCTATATATATTTTTAGTTGGCCGATTAATTTCTTCTATTTTTAGTAGAGACAGGGTCTCACTCTTGCTCAAGCTGGTTTCGAACTCCTGACCTTGAGCAATCCTCCCGCCTTGGCCTCCCAGAGTGCTAGGATTACAAGGGTGAGCCACCGCGCCTGGTCTCAATAACTTTTAATTGAATTTCATTGTGTCCTACCTCATTAGAAAGAAGGAAAGAAAAAAACCTATAAATGTTATATTCTCTTACTATTTAAATTAAGTAGTGCTTTATTAATTTCTATCTCTTAGAAATATCCAGTTCATAAAATGGGGCCTCCCCTTTGTGAGTTCATAACAACACACTGTGCTTAGATGCACTCCTCACCCTTCCCCTGTGTGCACTGCATCTAGGGGAGCAGTGGGGCAGAACTGGCCCCTGCAGGTTGCATTTCCCAGGTTCCTGTGTTGAAAAGATTTCTGTTAGTACTAGGTTCAGCCAGTGGAAGACTTTGGAGGGAGATTGGTGGGGAGAAGGGAGGGAAGGAGAAACCAGGGTATCTCCTTCTCCCCTTCTGTGTTGGGCAGCGTCTCTGATCCCCCATGGCTTCAGCTTCCATAGGACAGGTCCTTGCCTCTATTTATACCCTGCCTTTTCTTTTTCTCCCATGCCAAGAGATGCTAAGGCCTTCTTGCTGTTGCTAATCTCTGGGCTATAACACCATTCTCAGTTGGCCTCACCACTCTTTGTTACCTACATACCAGTTGCCTGCGTTAAATTTCCTGTGTTAAATACTCAGAGTGATTTCTAGTCTTCTGGTTGGACTGATACATACACAGCCTTTAACCACAATGGTCAATTTATATCCTATAGAAATGGGCCAGAAAGGAAGCCTATTTGTGATGCGTTTCTGTTTTGTTTGGTGTTTTTTTTTTTGGAGACAGTCTCACTTTGTTGCCCAGGCTAGAGTGAGTGCCGTGGCGTCAGCCTAGCTCACAGCAACCTCAAACTCCTGGGCTCAAGCAATCCTTCTGCCTCAGCCTCCCGAGTAGCTGGGACTACAGGCATGCGCCACCATGCCCGGCTAATTTTTTCTATATATATATTAGTTGGCCAATTAATTTCTTTCTATTTATAGAAGAGACGGGGTCTCGCTCTTGCTCAGGTTGGTTTCGAACTCCTGAGCTCAAAGGATCCGCCTGCCTCAGCCTCCCAGAGAGTTAGGATTACAGGCGTGAGCCACCGCGCCCGGCTGCATTTCTGTTTTAATTGCCTATATTAAAACACAAACTCCTTTTCTTGTCAATGTCTCTTGTATGTTTCTGGCTTAAAACACTGATTGTAGTTTATATATGAATTTAGTTTATGGAAGATTGGACTACTTGCCTAGAGCTTTATTTGCTGATGAATATTTCTTTTTATTCTCTTAATAATGAGTGGCCTGACCTTATATTTATTTTAAGTGCTCAGTTTTCATTATCGCTTTTAAATTTTGTTTTATTAAGATGCCATTGTCATTGGCTATATAAATTTGTTAACATTTAAAAATTATTTAACTGCTGAAATCTGCAAAGCGTACAGCTTTTCAATAAGTAAAATTCACATGAGGCATTGATATGGTGAAAAGAATTAAATTGGGAAACATCCTGTATGATGCCAGAGTTCAGCAAAATGGCTCGAGATGCCTATTTAGTCCTTTATGTATAACGTGTGACAGATGAGGGAACCTACTGCTTTTTTGGCTGTGTCAGGTGGAGAGGAAAAACCCACAATAAATGGCTTCCTTTCACTTTGTTGGAAACATCTTTGCCAACAGCAGAGGTAGTGAGTAAATGTAAAGTCAGAGGCAGACAAGCACATGGCCCTGGGTGTTTTGGCCCCTGTGACCATGAAACGAGGAAGGCAGGTGGTCCCTTCGGAGGACTTTGGATGGCGTTGAGTGTTTCCTGTAGAGAGGAAAAACATGTATTTAAGATTAGATGAGAAAACTGCCATTTTCCTCTTCTGAATCTGAATAACATTTTGAACATAACACTTGAAGTGTTCCTGTATTGAGACTAATTTTGTGTATCAACGTGGAAGATGCTGGGTTAATATTTAATACCCACATTTAAAACCTCAAAATCTGGAACAGACATTTTTGAAGTACTACTTAAAATAAATGACAGCCCTATGCATGACTTAGTACCCTAAGATGGATGGCCCTTCCAATGGCCATTTTTTTATATTAGCTACTAATGAGTATTATTGAGTCACTGACTAATTCTGAAGAACATTTTGGTGAATTATAATTGGGGCTGTGATTTACTGAGTATGAAGACTGACAGGCCATTCCATAGCCCTGTAATTGGTGTGGAAGCAGAGAAAAAGCACCCCGATGGTCAGCATTCCGTTTCTGTGGGACGGAGGGTGGTGGCAAACTCAAAAGCATAATCCAGCCAAAGGAGAATGTTATTTTTGTCAGCCCTTTTTGCATTTTACTTGTATTAAGAATGGCAGGGAAATGTGAAGTGCCACCAAACTTTGGAAGGGCAGTCTCTTGTCCACATCCTATTCTTATATTCAGTATATTAAAGCATCATCCATCACAGCTATGCCCTGGTGTTAAATGGTTCATTATAGTCAATGAACCACAAAATAGTCTAGGTAGAGCGACAGAATTTAGAATCATGGCCCAGATGCACAGGCCATGTAACTGATTATTCCTAGAAGGGCAAAATCTGGTTTTTTGTATTCATTGAATTTTTTGGAAGTTGGGATGTGTTTATGCACCTGTGTTTCTGAACTCTTTGGAGGAAAAGACAGAACAGTCCAACACGTAAATAAGAAAAACCAAATCCAAATAGGCCCGCAGATACATGAGGACTTCATTTTCAAATAGAAACTGGATGTTGAGACTCCTACTTCCTTTTCTTTGTATACCTTCTTTCATGTGTTGTTATTGCAAATGGCTTTGGCATGTGCTTTATTTTAGTCAATTGAATATTTTTCTCTGTAAGATGGCAACTGTGTGTTCTATCATATTTCAGGAAAAAAAATGAGTCAGGAAGCTATTTTTTTGCGAAGCAATTCAGTACCTTCTAGTTGCTTCATGAGCTCCTAGCTCCTAGGACTCCCTGAGTTTCAATCCTTAATCCTTCATCTCTTTCTACTCTTTTTATTATAGTCTTTATGTAATAGTTTGGACATAGAGATAGCTTTCTTCTTTAAATAATCTCTTCTGTTAGGATCTGTGATGCCATATCCTCCTGGTTTTCTCCTCTCTCTCTGACTCTTCCTTCTTAGCCTCCTTCTTCAGCTCTCTTTCCTCTATCCAACCTCTAAGTGCTGTAGTTCCTAAAAGGCTTGATCTTGACCTTCTTATTTCTTCTACCCTTTCTAAATAGCCAAGCTCTACACTGTCTCAGGACTCTCACATGCACTGTTCTCTCTTCTTAGAACTCCCTTCCCTCTAGCCCTCTTCTAATTCTCATTCCTTCTTTTTCGTCCCCTTCTTTTTTGTCCGTGTTCTGGACTATTTACTTTTCTCCAGACACCTGTGTGTTCCCACCTCTTCTTCCTACTTTGGCTCATTCTGTTTCCTGTTGTACAATGGCCAAATCTATTTTTCATTGCCTAGCTGAAAAGCCATGTTAATTCATGAAGCTTTCTATAATCACTAAAGGTTTTTTAAAATTTAGATCAATTAATATATTTTATAATACTCATAGCCCTCTTCACATTTACTTCCTACTATTATTTTTGTGTATATGCATTATATCCCCTATTAGACTATAAACTCAAAGGCAAAGGTCTTATCTTCAACTTAATTGTATCTCTCATAAAACACAGCATAGTGCCTTATACATAATAGTTATATGTAATTAGGATAAATTAATGAAGTATATACTAGGATAAATTAATGAAGATAATCACTAAATCAAACAAAGAGAAATAGTTTCCTAAGAGAGTTCTCATTCTCATTTCAAAAGAAGTAGGGAACTTCGAGCCTCTAGGATTACTACCCTTGGTTGGTAAAGGTTTTTATTTGTGCCCTGGTATATAACTTCGAGTAAACTTTATATCAGACTGAGAAGGTACACTGCTTTGTTATCAGACATTTCTGTTACTTTGCCTGTCAAGCTGAAAAAGGGAGATAGCTTCTATTTGCTTTGAGCTTCTTGTCGATGGTTTTCTGCTCTGCCTACTAATCAGGGTTGTATTATTTACCTTGTTTAAAAAGACCCATCTGGACGTTCTTTCTCTCCTTTGAATTGTAGTTGGATATTAATTCACTGTTCTAGAATACATGGGTAAAGATTTCTGAAATTGCAAGGAAATGTTTCTTTAATCCCTCAAGTTTGTTAAGTGCTTTATTATAATGGAGATCATAATCTCCTAGTTGGTAGAAAAGATGAAATGGTTACTGGGGATATTTCTCCCTTGCTGCAGAAGTGCTATATGAGAAAATACTTCGTGAAGTTTTTTTTTAATCCTTTCCACATGCTGTAAGGTCCTTAGGAAATAAGTAGATAGCACTGATTCCATGTCTTTCATAAGGCATTGAGTAATGTTCAGGTCACTGTGATTCACAAAGTTAGTGGCCTTGAGCCTTTATTGGTGGAGCTTGAAAGTAGTTTTCTTTAGCATTGTGCACACACATTCAGAGCTATTAGAATGCTGAAATGAGGCTGTGATTTGGGGAAACATGCAGTCACATATCTTGACCATTCAGCATAAATCACCAAATAGCCAGCTGGTAGTGAGTGGCTGGAGGGGACAAAGGAAAGCGGGCTCTTAGGCCATGAATGCTCACATCTCCTTTGTTTGTTCTTCTACACAGATTTTAAGGGTCATTTATGATCTGCTCAGCAAATTAAATTTCCTGATGACTTTTACGTTTCTATTTTCCTCTGCTTTTTTTTCATACTGAAGAACTTTTTTGTTTCTTTGTGAGGCAACCTCAAGTTGTAACCCACCTTGGAAATGATAACATTATTAATATATTTCTTCTTTCTATAGCATTGATAGTGCTGCCAGTTAGTGTTTATTAAGTATTCATGGCTTGTGAAGTGCTAAGCAACAGAGAATTTAGGTCCAGCTAACGGGTATAAGATATATAATAATGATTTCTCATTCTAAAGGGATATTATGTAAAGACCAGAGCTGGTCTTTTCTAACTTAACCTGGGATTGGTAGAAATTGGGATGTCCCTGGTTCATTATTTTTCATCGCCTGGCACTGTTTGGCAATAATCCTGGGTGGAATTAGGAGAGGAACTAGAAAGGATCTATTTTCTTTAGTTGCTCCTAAATTCTGGAGGGAAAATAAAAAGTTAATGACAAAAACAATTTAAAAAACAATGACCACAACCTAGTGTATGACATCCCTAAAAGAAGTATTTAGCCATGATGCTCAACATTTTGGAATTAAATTTTACTTTAATTACTTGGAATTAAATTTACTTTAATTTTATTTTAATGACAAATATTAATAAATATTATCCAAACTTCTCAAATATAGGCTTTTGAAATTAGAATTTTGCATCTCATCTCCCCCTAAAAGAAGTATGACTATTGTCCATCTGGCAATGAGGCTCTTGAACCATACATAATACAGAAGAACACCCTCTCTCTAACAAGCATCAATTGTCTTATGTTCTAGTGAGTCAGCAGCTCATAAATCACATTGAACAGTTTTTGGATACTAACGAAACACCATATTTTATGAAGAGCATGGACTGTATCAAAGCCTTCCGTGAAGAAGCCATTCAGGTAATGCTGTTCTCACCTGTCTTCTCCTCCCAAACAGTTGGTCACCATCACAAAGGAGTGACATATTGCATTCTACAAATAAGCTTGGGCTTTGGAAATAATCATTCTCAATGTGAATAGCAGCGTATGCCAAGAGAAGTAGAAATGACTAAACTCATATCACTATCATTGTCATTTCTGACGGGCAACAAAGGTGGGTGGGATGTTTTCTCCCTGGGCGTTAGCTTTTTATTACATGAAAGCCCTGGCTTTGTGTTCCTACTTAGGGAACCAAGGGAATTTCTATGGTAACCTCTAGTGGCCCAGTCATTATTGTAAAGGACAGGCTAACTATTTTAGGAAAATTGATGGAAAATGTATATTGATATAATTATTGAAAAAGATTTTATGAAGACAGAAGTAGGGATCTGAATGCCAGGAAAAAAAGAACACTGAAAATTAATTACTCAGTTCCCCTCCCTTTGGCATAGGTTAAGTTTTGTTTGTTTTATTAGAAATTTTTGGAAAACACTTTTTAAAAACCTCCCAAATGATTTATAGACTTTTATACATTTAGGCAAGAGATGAACAAGTTTAAATTAGAAAGTATATTTCTAAAGTAGGTATGGTTGTATATGTTCTTGTGTGGTGCTTCTTAAATATTTGCTGAATGAATGAACAAATTAATGCTTGAATAATTTAAGTGCTTACAAAGAATGACAGGAAAATGAGAAATTCATTAAAATTAGATTAGAGTAAAAAATTCAGAAGTAAATGACCCAAATGCCCTACAAATAAAAAACAAAATTTTGGAAAAGTAGGGTCAAGACAAGACTGAGGATGACTCAATTGGGTGGAAAAAGATTTGGTTGGACAGAAAGAAGTAGTAAAAATGTATCGCTTGTCATTCGCACTGCTCCAGGCTAGATGGAGTGTTTGGTAGCACTTCTGTGCTATGCGTGGTTGCCACTGCATGTCCTTAAAAGTACCAGGTCACTGGATTTCTTTTTCTTTTTTCCTTTTTTTTTAACTGTTTTTTAGAGACAGTATCTTGCTATGTTGCCCAGGTTGGTCTCAAATTCCTGGGCTCAAGTGATCCACCCACCTCAGGCTCCCAATGAGCTGGAACTACAGGTGTGCACCACCACACCTGTGTTTCTTTAAAAAAAGAGAGCCAGCGATGGAAAAGGAGCAGAAGACTTTAGAGACAATCAGTCTTCATGTGGAGACCTTTTCTGAACTATAAAAACTCAAAAAGAAAGAAAGGAAGAAAGTTTTATACAACAGTTAAGAAAATGAGATGCTAAATGTTATTTGCTCCTATGTAGGAATTATAATTTTTGTGTGGCATATTATAGCATGTGAGTGTGTGTATATTTTAGATATTTTGCACAGAAATATTTATAAATGAAATAATAGGACTGAATTTTGCATCCAAACAATCCTAGGGCTATGGGAGAAGGCAGGGGTATAGATGGACCAAGATTGGTTGGGTTGATACTTATCGAAGCTGGGTGATTAGTCCATGTATGCTCACTGAATTATTCTTTCCGATTTTGTTTGGAATTTCCTATATTAAAAGTTAAGAAACAAAAGGCCGGGCGTGGTGGCTCACGCCTGTAATCCTAGCACTTTGGGAGGCCGAGGCGGGCGGATTGCTCAAGGTCAGGAGTTCAAAACCAGCCTGAGTGAGACCCCGTCTCTACCAAAAATAGAAATAAATTAATTGACCAACTAAAAATATATATACAAAAAATTAGCCGGGCATGGTGGTGCATGCCTGTAGTCCCAACTACTCAGGAGGCTGAGGCAGTAGGATCGCTGAGCCCCAGAGATTGAGGTTGCTGTGAGCCAAGCTGACGCCACGGCACTCACTCTAGCCTGGGCAACAAAGTGAGACTCTGTCTCAAAAAAAAAAAAAAAAAAAAAAAGTTAAGAAACAAAGAGCCAGGCCACCAAAAAACCATGTGGTTCTGGGATATCTGTACCTTCCACAGATGGAAGCATTTCTGGTCCCCAGTGAACATAGCTCAGTTTGAAATGCCACCTTCTCATTTACCAAAGAACATTTTTTGTATATATAAATTGTAGTGATTCAAAATAGGTAGTACTTTGGTCTGGGTCTGGACTGGGTTTGTGTTTACTCTGACTTGCCATTTCTCCCCCTCCAACTTGCCACCACAGTTTTCAGAAGAGCAGCGCTTTAACAGCTTCCTGAAAGCCCTTCAAGAGAAGGTGGAAACTAAACAGTTAAATCATTTCTGGGAAATTGTCATTCAGGGTAAGTTTTCATTCGTCTTTGTGTACAAATACTTATGCCATTTTTTTTCTAAATAAGCATACAAATTCTAAATATAAATTCTGTTATGTGCTGAGTTGTGGGGGGAAGGGGACCTGATGATTTTCTACTTAGCTTTGGGTAAGGCTCTCCCTTGCTAAGCCAAGATGCAAAGTGGTAAGTAATAAGTAAATATGTAAGTCCCATCTGAAACTTTGAGAAGCATGACCCATTTCCAAGGTTATGCGTTCCTGTTTGTGGAGTGGAGCAACAGTGCAGGCAAGCTTGCCCCTTTTGCAGGTTCTTAGGCCATTTCAGTCCTGCTGGATCCACAGCACTTTGATTGACCTCACTGTATTTTGCCTCCCTTCTGCCTTTCATGATCGTGTTCTTAGGCTTTGGGTATCAGCAGGCCAGCATCTTTGTGCACCAAAGCCATTCAGTTCTTCTCTTGTTCACAGCAACCAATTGCACATTCCACCCAGAGAGAAAGCAGCACACATACTCTCAGTGTTAGGCTTGATCTCTGCTTTTATTTATGCCCTTTGCCCATTTTTTATCCTGATCTGATTTTCTTTTAGAACCTAAGTATAAGATATTACCTATTAAAAATACATATTATGAAAATAGTGATGTTTAAGAGTTAATATGATACTTTTGACTTATCGTAGGGATGCACAATTAATTTCAACCTGTCTTCCTGTCCAAATTCTATATAAAAGGAGTCACATACCTATCTATTCCACTTATAACGGGCAGCTTTTCATCATACAGGCTCACACAGGCAACCGTCTCCTTGACAGTTAATTTTTCAGCCCTTTAACTTCTACACTGGGGAGGAAAAGCAAAAGCAATTAGAATAGGTGGTGAATAGGGCTTCCTCAAATCACTTTTGTGTCTCTGCTGCCGACCTAGTAGATGAAAGAGATTGGTTTTGTTATTTATTGAATGTCTACAGCATATTATTTGCTGAAGAGAAACTTACAGGACATACGCAAGATACATATTTTCCAATAGATTTTATGCTGCTGAGAGAATACAAATGACCTATGTCATTTGTAGGTAAAAATGGATGTCAAATGCATGTGTGCTTTTCTGAAAGAATATTGTGCATCAGCCATCTGAGGTAGGAAAAAAAGGAAGAAAAGAAAACAGAAGAATAGATTTTCTGTCTTTGATTTGCTCTCACTGAGCTGAAAGTGATGCTCTGTGCTAAGTGGTCAGCGTGCCTCCTGTTGAGCATGTTTCCTTCTGCCCTAGTCCTCTGGCCACTTTGTCAATAGCCAGTAACACTGCTATAAGCCAAAATGTGTCCAGAGTCCCCTATTGGGTTCCTGATGGGTTTGGATAAAAGTTTATACAGTCATTCAGTTATCATTTATTTATTGAGCTTCTGCTATATACTACACTAAGTCCTCAATGTTGATAGGTTCTTGAAAACTGCAACATTAAGTAAAAGGTATGTAACAAAACCATTTTCTTCTCATCAACACTATAAAAAAAGTGACATGATTCAAGGATCTGCTATATGTCATTTCACTTAAAGTTACAGATTCCAAGAACCTATCAACAACGTTAAGAACTTTCTATACATTAAGGGGGATAGAAAGATGAAACAGCCCCTGATAAAAGTATAGTCCATTCAGAGAGATACCATATGCACAAGTAGTTATACAACATAAGGTATGACGAGAGCCATTCCAAAAGGATAAAAAAGTGATCTGGTAATTCTAAAGAAGGGAAGGCTATTTCTTTCTGGAGTTGATCAAGGAAGGTTTCGTGGAGCTAGTGGCATTTGAGATGCCTTTATTGCTTATTGCGCAAGCAAAAATAGGAGAAGGCTAATGTCAGATAAAACAAACAGTGTGAATCAATTGCCTTTGTAGTTTTATATTTTTTATAGAACAGAGCACCTGTAGTAAAAATCTTTAGCACAAAGTGGGGAAGAGGTGTGGTGGGAAGGAAAGTAAGATTGGGATTGATTATTTGCATGTGGATTTTACTCTGTGAATTATTTTTTAGATGGAATTACTCTCATCAGCAAAGATGAAGCCCCTGGAAGCTCTGTCACAGCTGAGGAGGCCAAAAAGGTATTGAGGGGTAACTCCCTTTCTTTAAATGAATTATTGCAGTGGATATTACTTTCTTGATACCCTTGAAGAAGTTAAATTTTAAGGATAAAATAAATTATCCCATTTTTTTATTCAACCAGTGAGCAAATTGCTTCTACTGCAGCATCCTCATGGGAGAAATTGTTATCTTTCTTTGGTTTCCTGTAGGCCATGGTTGCATTTCTAGAATTTACCTATAATCTCAGCCTTAATAGCTCTAGAACTGCTGAACTCCATAGAGCATACCAGACTCAGCCTAGGCCCTGGTAAAGGCTATGAAATCCAGCTAGCCCAGTGATTCCCACCCTGAGCATACATTAGTCACCTGGGGACCTTTTTTTTTTTTTAAATACCAATTAAAAATCAGAATAGCCCCAGAAATTATACTGGTCTAAGATGGGTCCAGGGCCTGGTTTGTTTGAGTTTTGAAAGCCCTCAGATGAATGTAATGTGTAGGGGTAGAGAAACACTGGTATTCTAGCACAAGGGGCATATAGGGTTTTCAGTAAAAGACCCCCATATATGCAGACCCCATGAGTTTTTTATCAACACAAATTGTTAGGTCAAGGCCTCCCTGCTTGGTATGTAAGTACTGCATATGATTTAGCTATGAGTCAAATACATGTGGCTATTTCGTTCAGTAATCCTTCATTATACCTCAAGGTTGTGATGAAATTTTAATGAAATTAAATTGAATAGCTCAAAAGTATATAGTTCATAACATTCAGTTTCAATTACAGTCATTGATTGATCTAGTCTTGCTAGCACAGTACCTGGCAACTGTCAGCCTCTGAGCTTCTGCTCTGTGCTGGGCACAGTACTGGATGACATGACAGCACCCCTGTCCTCCAGAAGCTCAAATGGTCAGTTATAAGGGAGCATAAGGAGACAAGAGAGACTCAAAAACTCTACAGGCTAAGGCAGAGCTTGGTCTGGGGCTGGCAGATAGGAATCCATTAGAGAAGTGACAGGAACGACGCTGGAAATGTATATCATGTGGCTAAATTCAAGCCAAATTAAAAATGTCTTGAATTTTCAACTCAGTAGAGGCATTTGGCAGAAACCATTGTATTGTTTGGGAGAGAAGTTAGGATATACAGGAATTTTTATTAAGCACTTTGCCTGGCAAAAGATTTGTTAAAAAATCAGATATGGTTCCTACTTTTAAGGAACAAGATCCTGAAATTTTAGAAGCAATAGAAGGTGATGATTATTTTCTCGGAAGGAGTTCCATGGTGTCTGTACCCTTTTCTGCCACAGTCAGTGCTGAGTACCATGGGCTTGAGTATGTCATTTAACTGTTTGGTTTTATTTCTTTATGTCACTTTATACAATGTTGGGATAATATTTTCCCCTTGAACTAGGATCTGTCAGTCAGGGTTCCCTGGAGAAACAGAACCAATAGAACATACATACATACATACATACACACACACACACACACACACACACACACACACACACACACACACACACACACACACACACACACGGGAGAGAGATTGATTGACTGACTTTAAAGAATTGACTTATGGGATTTGTAGGACAGGCCAGCAGGCTGGAAACTCAGGTAGGATTTCTATGTGACAATCTTGAAGGAGAATTCCTTTGTCAGGAAACCTCAGTTTTTGCTCTTCAGGCCTTCAACAGATTGGATGAGGCCCACCAACATTATCAAAGGTACTCTTCCTAAAGTAAGCTGATTGTAAATGTTAATCACATCCACAAAATACCTTCACAGCAACATCTAGAGTAGTGTTTAATGGAACAGCTAGGCACCATAGCCTAGCCAAGATGACACACAATATTAACCGTCACATGGGTCAAAGAATTAGTTTCTGCTAAACAAGTAAAATAAGTCAAGACAAATAATTTTAGTCATTATTGCATTTTTTAAAATCTATCATTCAGGCAAGAGTATAACAGTTTTTGGAGGAAGTGAGAAGCACGGATCTAAAAAGGTGACGCTTCCTTCCAGCGGTGCATCTTAACCAGAGGTGTCACAGCTAAGCGCAGCTAGAACATTAGAGAGGAAAGAAATCTAAAAATGGATAAAATGCACTTGCAAACTGTGTGGGGCTTGTTTTATATTGCAAATGCTGTATCTTCTTTGGAATTTAAGGGCACTGAGCCTAAGCATCAGGAATGTTAATGTCTGATAATGAAGCTATAGAGAGAAATTTCAGTCAATGACCAGGTATAAGGTGGTGTCCTTAGCATATCATCAGGCTGATTTCACTTGTAGTTTCAGACACCTCTGGAAACTTCGCCATCTTCAATTAGAGAAAATATAGTAAAAAACAAGTGAAAAGAATCTCTTCTACTCCCACCACTGGTTGCCTGGCTTTGGTGCCTTCCTTTTGGAACACGGTGCTTCCATAATCAAGGCACAGTAATTATCCTTCCAATACTAGCAGCAAAACTTAACGTCACTGTCATAGCAGATCGGAAATTAGGAAATTCAACTAAAGTATATTGATAACAGCTCTGTGCTAGGCACTTTGATATACATCATCTCACAGCCTTCAAAAAAGTATATTTATTGCACATTAACCTCGCAGACTCTCTTTCACATCTAGAAAATGACATTCTCTTTTTTTCACATTTACCGGTGCTTCAGTCAATTTAATATTTATACCAAATATTTACATAAGATTCTGCCTTCTAAGAAACATTCACATTATATGATGTTTACCTAGAATACTATATATATATATATATATATCTCATACCTGAGTAATGGTAGAAAATAATGGGAATAAAATTTTGTGTATATCTAAATCCAGCACCAAAGAGCCCTGTGCTATCTCTGCGATTCTCACAGTGATCTGCTAAAACTTGGTAGGAAGGAGCAGGAACTGCCATCCCTGTTACCACTGAAAGCCAAGCCCCCAAAAGGTTGAGTGGGGTTACACTGTGAGCACACAGTGTAGGAGGCAGTAGGAGGATTAAAAGGCTGGTTGCTGTGCACTATGCTGGACCTTCATTCCTAAATGGATTATATCTTATAAACAGAATCTTACACTAACAGTCTCTTTATCTCAGCAAATAATTGGCCTAGAACCAGGTGGTGGATGGAATGACCTGGAAGACTATAAAGTAGAGCCTGTAATTCTGATTCCCCTTTACCACATCTGATTTGTGAGATTAAGCTTTATGTCCTCTTTAGTAAATATCACATGAGCCCTTTGTTTTTCAGAGTGGAAAGTTGATCCTTTGTATTAAAAATGTTTTTAAATGGCATCTGTTGATGTTTAGAAAGAGGTATAGAAGGGAGAGTACACATAGAGATGATAAGGAGGAGAATTGCAGAGGACAATTCTGGCTCAAGAAAACTGATTCCTTCTGTTTTAATAGAGGCATGCCTCAGCTATTTCTGTTAGGGGGAAGGGTAATCACTGTTGACCATACACTGAAATACTCATTTGTATTGCCTTTAAGTTAAGTTTGGTCACTTCCCAAATAATCATTTAAGCAAACTTGACTATAATCAGAGATTAAAGAACAATTCTAGTCCATTTAAATTCTTTTGAGGTATTTGCTGTCAGTTATTGAAAGTTAGCAAGCTGTCAAATTCTTGCTATTAAATATTGACATTTGAAAGGATATAATTATCCAGGATGTCCATTTTAAATGAAAATTAAGGCTGGGTGTGATGACTCACTCTTGTAATCCCAGTACTTTGGAACACCGAGGTAAGAGGGTCTCCTGAGGCCAGGAGTTCAAGACCAGCATGGGCAACATAGTGAGACCCTATCTCTATAAAAAATGTAAAAAATAAATAAGTGAAAATTAGATTTTAACGTTATACTTACACAGCCATCTTAAGGAGAGCCATTTCCTTCCAGTGTGTTTTAGAAATAAGTGGATTTTATGAGAAATAGAGGTAAGTCAGCCCTGCTTTAGAAATAAAATATTCTCCCTGACATAAGTTTAGGTAGTCCCTTTCTTTCAAGTTTCCTGGTACCTCTCATTTCCTTTTGAATCCTAGGCATAAATATTGCCCCTCTTTTATACTCATTTTTATTATCATCATAACCTGCCAATTCTTTCATTTAACTTACGCTATTTCTAATTGGGTTGTGAGACATGCCATCAGCACGAGATTCGGTAAAGTCAGCGTAGAGCCCTTGTGTGCCCTTCGTCTATCGGTTAGTTCTCGTGGTGTGGCCTTGTGATGGGGAGGGGGGAAGTGATGTGTCTGAGATCTCACAGTAAGTCACTGGCCAGGAATCTAGTTCTAGAACGGACTCTTGGTCTTCCATTCTTTCCATTCTCTACTCTGTGTTGAGAACACAGTGGGAAAAGGATTTATCCCCATTGCTTTGGAATGTTGTTTTTCATGGGATTCCAAGAGGCTGAGCTATGTCTAAATAATCATTTGATACAAGCTCTATGGGAAAAAAAATCATCATTTTAGTACTTGTTTTCCCTGTAACTGCCTAATCTATCCTTTTTGTTGTTGTTGACATTTATTGATTTTCCACCTTAGCATCACAGATGCTCGGAGCTTAGTGATCAGGTCATTTTACCTATTCCAGCTAGAGAGGTGAAGTTGACTAGCTCGGTGTCTCCCACCAAGTTAGTGGCTGGCAGAATTGACTAGAATCCAGACCCTTGGACTCCCACTACAGTCACCTCTCCACCACCCCATGGTGCCATCTCCCCACGCCTCTACCTTTATAATGCCACGTCTACCAAGAGGAAAGAAATTCACACTCCCTCTTTCAAGAGTATACTCAGTTTTGTGTGTGTGAGTAAGAGATTTCCAAAGCCTTGGGAAGGATTATAAAATAACATTTAAGGATCATTTCTTGAGAATAGTACTCTAAATTTGCTGGCTCCTGTTGGACCTTTGCTCTTTTCTGCCTAAATCTCTGGTATAGTTTTTTATATGCTAATACAAGAACAGCAATAATGAAAATGTCACAGTATTACCTAATACTTGTTCAGAGCTTGAACTCAATTTATTGAGGTGGAACATGCAAACAGTAAATGCACAGATCTTAAACGTGCAACTTGATGACTTTTTTACACATCCATATACCTGGAAACTCATCACCCAGATCAAAATAATAGAACATTTCCATCACCCTGGAGGGCTCCCTTGGTATCTTTCCAATCAGATCTCCCCTGTCCCCTGAAGTAACCATTATTCTGACTTCTGTCACTTGACAGTAGTTTTGCCTGTTTTTGACCTTGATATACTTGGAATCATGCCTTTGTGATTCATCCATGTTTCAGTTACTCATCCTTTATTGTGGCTGTATATTTATACCACAATTTATTCATCTATTCTCTTAATGACGGACATTTGCCTGTTTCCAAACCTTAGTAATTATGAATAAAGATGCTGTGGATGATCTTGTACATATCATTTAGTGGACAGATATTGGGTATAATACTAGGAATTAGAACAAAAACTTACACCACCGCAAAGAATTTTTGTGTACTTTATTTCTTGTGAAACTTACCACAGTCTTATAAGTAGGGTAAGTAGTAGTGTTCCCATTTTATTTTTGAGGAAAATTAGTTATAAAAAGGTCAGGAGGCTTGCTCATGGTTCCTGAGAAACTGATGGAGCTGAGGTTATGGTTGTGTTTTCCACACTGGGCTGCAGGATTTTTCTGCTGCACCCCGTTGCCTTTATAGCATGAAAAAAGCTATAGGTAGCATTCATGAAATGCAAGTGTATGTCATTTTAGGCAAAACACATGCAAACTGATTTTTATTCTTTCTGATGCTTTTTTATGCATCTGGATTGTGGATGACCATTTGGAATCACCTGATGGTGTTGGCGTTAGCCTGATGAACTCCATGTGTTTTTAATTTGGGGCTTGGTAAGGGTCTGAGCATGAGCTGATTGTTAGTTTTTAGTCTTATGGAGGGATGGGACTGGCAGTTTCTACACAGAGGTTATTGATTCCATTTCTCTGCTTGTGGCCAGGATTGTATTTCCGTGTACTTGAAAAATAATAGATTAGCCATTTTATAAAGATCTCCAGGTAAGGAGGCCCTTTTGTGGTAACCCCAAGTAAGTGACTGTGGCTTGAGGAAGAAAGAATGTGTCACACAATGTCCTTTCTATTTATTCTCTATTTTTTCAGTATATTGCAGAGAGAAAGAACACGAGAAAAGATGAGAGGTGACTCCTACCCCTTTCTGCTGCGTTCAGAGAATCCGTTGCTTTTATTGAGAAAGCAGGCCAATCATTGAATTCTCTGCTGTGTCTCTAGCTTCTCTGCCTCTGCACAGCCTGGAATTACTTGCAGTTAAAAACTCTGATGATGAGGAGTGATATGTGTAAGAGATCAGCCTTGCCTGGGGCTCTGGGAAGGATAATGGATGGCAGCCTAGCTTTTAGCTATAATTTGCTTACACAGAAATGTGAAGCAAATCTGTCAGGAAAAGCAGTTGCAGATGTTTAGCATGTGATGGAAATGAAGGGGTTTTTTGCTCCTGTTCCTCTCTTCATAGGAATTTGGCCTTGTCTCACAGATGTGCCATTTGTGTTTAATTATATATACCATGGTCATACTGTGCAGACGGCCCTATCTTAATTTATCCTTTAATTGCATTGTGAAAGGGGCTTTGCAGGAGGGGAGGGAGTGGGAATTGGAGCTTTTAGAGGCTTAGTGCCAAAAAACATGGAGGATTTTTCTAGATTCATCAATAAATAGCTAACTAAGGGATAATAAAAGATGTACTGGAGTTTGTCATCTGTTTGGAAGGTGCTGGTCATTTGTGGCCCCACAGAGGTTTATGATAGCAGGACACAGCTCTACTTTTTATTCTCTTCACCCCAACTGGATAACTTTTATCCTGTAGCCATATATTCCTGATATAGGGAAAACCATGCAGGGGTAATGAGAATGAGTGAGAGAAGAAAGAGACAAAGTGAAAATTATGATCATAACCAGGAAAACCCTAAATAAAGATTGATTTGAGAATCTAGGATGGAGCACAATTTGCTTAACTTTCAGACATAAACCATATGTCAGTAAATGTATGGATTTCTTATTTATCTGTATTTGGCCTGCAGATATCTTTATTAATAATCACCCTCAATAAAGAAATAGAATTAGTGATACAGAAAGCTTCATTACAGTTCTGCTCCAGACTGTCTGCCCCCATTGCTGGGATTTTCCGTCTCTTGTACCATTGGTTTGCAGCCCTGCACATGATCCAGTTTACGGGCAACAAAGGGCTGTGGAAAGATCCATAAATATCCTTGGAAGACAATAAATCCCTTATTCACTCAGTCAAAGTGGAAGTTAATGAATAGCGAGGTGGTTTTAACTGGGGGCAGGGCGGGGGGCAGTCCAGAAGAGAGGTTAGGTCAACAATCCATGCTCGCTGTGCTGAGGAAGGCAGTGCCCAGTTGGGCAGACGTGGCCTCTGCTGTTGTCATTTCGTTGCCTATGTGTGAATTCCCTTACCTGAGGAAAGAAAGGACAGTCAGAAGTTGCTTCTTGAAACTTGTTTCACACAGCCTAATATTTAACAAGTGACTTTGGTTTATGATTTGTTAAAGAGATATATTTTAGTTTATTTATAGGTCTTAGGTTTCAGAGGCTTTGACTGTATCCATTATATCATAAAAATACCAGCAATGTAGAGGGAAAGCAGTTCTTGCCATTTTTTCATGTTGAGAAAATGAGAGAAGTATAAACTATACTTTTCCCTCTTGGGTGGAGGCAACAACAAGAGAGCAGAGGTGAGTTGGAAGGCTGGCTCCCCACTCCCTGCACGTGGCTCTGAGGAATGCCACCAGAAAGGGACATACCCCACCTGGCACCACTGCCTTTAAAACACTCCTACATATGGGGCCCGGCTAGCTCAGTCGGTAGAGCATGAGACTCTTAAAACACTCCTACAGCCTGTCCAGAAGACCACCTTCCCATGCTAGGATAGGTAGGCATTGCTAGAACCTAGCTTTTAGCTGTACTTACCACATGCCTTGAAGAAAAATACTCCCTGCTATTATCTCTTGGAGGGACAAGATTTAAAAAGAGTGTTCAGATAATTTTCAAGGGCATTCACTACCCCTTTAAAATCAGATTGCCATCCCAATCCTCCTATACTTTACTTCAAGGTCTTTGCTTTTCTATGTCTCTGCCTTTTAGAAGCTCCAGATCTAGAACACTGATGCTGAGCTATTGTTTTTTCATCCATTCCTCATACACCTATTTTAAAACAATTTCTAACACAAATTGAAAGATTTTCATAAAAGGAATTAAACAACCTCCAACCTCACCCATTTTTGCATTTTTCATTTCATACAGGAAGTCCCTTCTTTACACTTTTTTGTCCTCAGGAGAGTTCAAGAATAGATGATTCTAATCTTGACTTGATTCTTACACTCCTTTTAAAATAGCATACTGGTTTGGGATTTTGTTTATTAATTTTAACAAGTCCCTACTGAAGCAGGAATGGAAATATCAGACATCCACCATGCTGATACGGAACCTTCCACATAGTCACTGTCCTGACGAGCCATGTCACTTCCTCCCTCTGCACAAGCACTTTCTCTGGTGACTATTAGTATTGAACCTCAAAATTGGACATCTCATTCAGAGCCATGTGAAAGGGAGTAGGCCAGGATGTTGTTTCAGACCTTCTTAGGTTTGCCTTTGGCAGTGCTAGCAGCTTATTCTTCCATCAAAAGAGGCGAAAAATAACTGGCTTTGTATTCACAGTTTCTGGCTTCCAAAGAAAAACCAAATGAAAATGCAGCAGCCGTATTTGAAGAAGGTGGTGATGTGGACGATCTAGTAAGTACTTTTAATGTATGCCAGGTGTTCTCATGATCGAAATCACCTGAGCTGTAAATACAGCCACACAGGCGGCTTATCATAGATTTGTTGCTTATTTTTGTTTTAATTTCTAACACACCAGAAACTCCCTCCACTATTATTTATTGCCATTATAAATTTAATCAGGTAATTTCTGATAGAAATTTCTGTGTTTCATGGTTTCAGTTATATTTTTCATTCAGATTAATCCTCTCCATTGAAAGGCTAAAAAAGAGCTTAGGGAGGCTAATCCTTTAGTAACAAAATATTATAATTCACTGAAATTACTCTTAACCAAAAATAAGCAATACAACATGTAATTTGTGTGGGTTGACAAAAACAGCCTTTAAAAAGCCTACCTCCTAAATGTTCTCAATTAACTCAGTGTAAACAAAGTAGACTGATAAATGGCATTTGAGGATTTCATTCTGAACCTCATTTTACTATGTTGTGAATATCAGAGAAGCTGTGTAAATGTTGGCTTTTGTATCCATCTTCCAAGTTTGGAAACTTCCTATCTTTAAGACTCTCATGACAACTGTCCAACAAAAACTGCGCACTATGCTTTCAGCCTTTTTGTGAAGTTCTTAGTACTGAAATGAGGAGGTGCTTGGTATTTAACTCCTAAAACAGTGAGCAGTGCATGAGTGTGCAAATCTTTGCATGCCTACCAATGTAGAGAACCATTTTCATTGAACCCGCTCTCACCAGAGAAGCAGTCTTCCAAATTTGGGCTAGTTCCTTCCTGAATGTGTTATTCTTGTTTACAGCTGGACATGATATAGGTCGTGGATGTGTGGGGAATCTAAGAGAGCTGCTGTCGCCATGGTGCTGGGTGTTCTGACAGGACAAGCTGGAGGAGGCCATTCAGAAGCTCTGGAGATAGTCCCAGCAGGTTACTGGGAAGTGGATCACCTAATTCTCTGTGGAATGAGTACACACATACATATTATAAAGGATAATTTAGACCCCATACCAGTTCATAAAGAATCATTGTTATTTTCTGATTGGTGTCATTTCTTTTGTGGTTTTACTGATCTCAGTGTATATACACATGCTTTGAAATTTCTGGAAAGCAGATTTCATCTTGATCTGATATTGGTGAGGATTGCAGCCCTTGAGAAGTGATTAGCGTCTCATTTGGAACCATGGTATGGTTAATGGTGAGTTTCTCAACCCTTCCCAGGAGTCCTTTGTCTAACAGTAATTACAGCTTACACTGAATGAGCAATAGCAATTGTTTCCTACCGAAAATAGCTGGGTTAGGAAAATCACAGGTAAGGACTGACCCATTTCTCTTCAGTAAAGCCTTTTAATCACTGCATTACTTTGGCTCTGCATATGGGTGGTTTTCCTTAAGCAGAGCAGGAAGGGGAGCTCAGTTTTCCTGCATGCCTGTTTGAGACAGTGAGTATGGTGGTGCTCTCATGAAGAAAGGATCCTCTCTCAGCCCAGCCTCTGCCATATCAGCAAACCTTAAACAAGAAAAGCCAGAATTGGGAAATTTACCACCAGTAGTTATGATTGTGTCATTCGTTATGCTGTACTTGCATGTCTCCAAAACAGAAAGTTTGGATATATTCAAACACTTCTTCCTAATTTCCCACTCTTCTCATCTACCTAAGTCTACTTTCATGTCTCTCTGAGTAATATTTCGTTTCCTAAATAAGAGAAGCATAAAGCCCTTATTTTCTTTCTTCCTGTCCTCATTCCTTCCCTGAGTTCTAGCTCCTTTTCCCAGGAGTCACAAACTTCTTGGTGCCCAATCTCCCATATCCTCAGCACCCCTATAAATGGTCACTGATACACTTTATTTTCCATATGTAACGTTAAAGGCATAAATAACTCATTCCTCTGTGGATCACTGCCAATTACTAATTGTCTGCAAAAGACTTCTTCAGTGCTGTCCTGAGAATTAAAGACCCTCATGCATTGATTGAAAATGGATTTCTAAGATGGAATATCATCCATTCAGCTGAGGAGAGAGAGGGGAGTGGTTTACTTTAGGCCTTGAGGACGTGCCCTCCTTACTGTGCACATTTGAGTCAAACTTGACCTACAGGTCCCTATTTAAAGTAATCCTAACAAAGGGGTTACTATGCCATATCATAGCGTTTAGTTGGATAGTTAAGCCCAGGGGATGTTTGTCATTTGGACAAAACTGAGACATTCTTAGAATCACAGCAGTGAAAACCATGTTCTCTAAATTCTACATTATTCTCATCATCAGATCCTCCTGGCAATATGAATCAGCTCCTTAAATTTAGCTCCATGATCACCCCCGTCTTTGGCAGTTTGGGAATTTCTTCTTGACAACATCAGTCCTTCTATCAAACCAGGAAAAGTTTGAATCAAGTTATTCTTTTAGATCTTCTGATACTTTTTGATGTAGGTTGTATGTAGTGGGATTATGTGTGCTTTCCTAACCCTGCCTTTACCTAAATTTGAATACCTGAAGGAAAAAATGAGTTTCATAGGCTAGGGAGACTAAGTTAGCCATGTAATTTCCAAATCCCTTTCATGTAGGCACAGTATATGTGCTGTGTAGACTTCGTCAGAGCAAACTGTTTTGAATAGGGACATGACATTTTGGGTGAACACACCAAGGTCCCATTTCTCTGAAATGCCATTTGCCGATCTACAGAACTCCCAGGTGTTCTGCTGGCTATGGCCTTGGAGGGTAGCAGGTGCTGTGTTGCCCTCCAATGAGCCATGGGCTAGTCCTCAGAAACCCAGTAGTCCCACAAATGAAAGCCTTGAGTGGGAATTGGAAGTCACTGCCTATGATCCCTGTCACCTTCGGTCTTCTGTATCACTAAAATTCATTGAGAGAGGAGGCAGAGAAAAAAGAGGTGGCTCACCCATCAGTCACAACCCAAATGACCCTATGCATTTCCAAATGCCCCCTGGAGGGTACATGTTGTCCCCCTGTTAAGAGCCACTATTTTAAATGTTGGATTTTAATCCTTTGCCAATTAATTGACATATAATAGCCTTTTAGAAACTTCTTTAGAAAACCATGTTGGGATTAGGCAGTATTTTGCCAAGCCCATGATGGTTTTGAAAATAAATGGTCACAGATCTAGACTTCTATTTGAATTATGTGCAGTGCTGGTAACTGGCTTTGTAGCTAATTTTGACTCAGGCAACAGATACTCTGTTCCACTATCTCCCATGGGCCTCATTGCACATTATCCTCTTCTCCCCCAGGTGTTCTCAGTTTAGAACACAAACTGGTGGCCCATTCAGAGCAGATGCCATGAGGAGGCACAGTGTGGTCAGGGAGACAACACTGGACTAGCTCAGACTCCAGATTTGAGTGACTTGAGTCCTGCCTCTGCCACTTGGCCTTTGTCAAGATGCTTGAACCTATCTCCGGCTTCCCAGGCTCACTAAGTGAGAGTGTGGCCATGGGTGTGCTCTGTAGCTCTAGAATGCTTTCCACAAATGAGGTGGTTTTATAGGCCTAGGCAGAACATAGGAACTTTTAAATAGGTCTGCCTCCTGTCTTTTTCATCTTAATTCTTTTAGAACCTGCATATTCCAGTGCTGGTTTTCATAATTATCTATTGCTGTTGGACTTAGGTTTTCTTATGCAATTATTACATGAGAAAGTGTCCACGTGATCAAAGATGGTGGGTTAGGACCCAGGGGAGGTTTGGCTAGTTTTGACAGGGTGACCATGCTTCCCATTTTACAAGGAATTATTGTCCTGGCATAATGAATAGCGTTCTTTTTCACTTTCACAAGTGTCCCAGGTGAATTAGATTTTATGGCCTCCCTTGGTTTTGCTTAAGTTAGTGTCACAACCAGGACCCAAAGAACAGCCATATCCTGCATTGCCAGCCACCCCGTCCTGTTAACTCCCTGCTGGAGCTAAATGCACAAGGCGCAAACAGCAATATAGAAATCTATATACTGTTTCGTATTAGCTGTTTCAAAAATCTTTGGAACAGCTAGGTTGTAGCTCATGGCTTAGGTTTGTCGTCTACTTCCGACAGCCAGATCTCACCACCAACTGGCTGCCGAGCCTGAGACAGAGCAAAGGCGTCTCGCTGGGCCTGCGCAGAAACAGGAGGGGAGCCTGGTGGACAGCGTGGCGCGGGAACTAGAAATGTGCATGATGTTGAACATGTAACTTATTAGGAGTTTTAATGACCCCCTGATAAATACAACCCTGTCATCAGTCATTTGTAAGTCCTCCCTGTAGCAGTCAGGGGAATGTCAGGAGAGAGGCGGGGAAAGGGAGCTTCCCTCACCCTGCACTGTCACCCCCATATAGGTCACTCTACCTAGTCACAGGTAGAATTGCTAGTCCCTGCTTAGATAGTGTTGGCTTCCTGTGGTCACTTTGGAAAGGAAGGAAATGCCCCTTTTCTCCATCTAAACATGACCCAGGACTAGACTTTGGAAAGGCATAATGGCATAGTGCCTCATAGTGTCACTTGGGTGTTAATTGCTGCTAGGCTTATAAATCCCAATGTCAGTGGCATTGAACAAGCTATGTGGTCTTAACAAGTGTAAGCAACGGAATAATGAAATCACTTGCATTTCATCTGTAGACAGGATGGCCCAGAAGACAACTTTCTCAGTCAAAAGGGATTTATAGATGGCTTTGCAGGAGCTGCTTGAATATGGGAACGGGCGCTGCCGGAGTGTGGAGGAAGCAGCCCCAGACACAGGCCCATCCACGGCCTCCCATGTTACGTTTCCCAGGCGCCCCCGACCCCTGCTTTTGCATTGCAGCATTGGGTGTGTAAGGGCACTGGTCGGGGGTCGTCGGAACTGGGGTAGGGTCTTAGGGAGGGTGAGTCTGAATTTGTGTAAGCATCTATCCATTACCTTTTCTGTTTGCTGTAATCCTGACAGCCCTCACAGTTATTGTTGGGCTTAGTGAGCACTAACTAACAGCATATGGCCTGTTGGCAAATCAAGATGGGAACTAAAACTGATTTGCAGCAGAATCCCCCTTAGGAGCAGGTCTGATTTGTTGGATAAATACGTTGATGAACTACTTGGGGTGTTGCGGTGGCGGCCAGATGGGGAGAGGGGGAGCAGAAGGAAGGTGGCACCTGGGTGAGCTTGAGGAACAGGGTGGCGGCAGGGGAGTTCATCTTATAAACGAGGGCAGCAATTGAGAGATGGAGGCAGGTGAAGAAAAGAAGCTGCTGGGGAGGGCAGCTTGTGGGGTGTGGGGACACACAGGTGTCCTTGGGCATCCTGGTCTTCAGTCATCCTGTGTGCGGTGGGAGTGAGCCTTCATCTCCCAACCGAGTATTCAGTGCAACATCTGTTTCTCACAAATGTGCTTGGAGTTGGTTATTTTAGGGGATTCGTATAAGTGCTGTGACCTGTGACCTGTTTCAAGGAGGGCCAGGGTGAAAACAGGCTCCCCAGGTCATCTCTGAATGATGTGCATACCTGCTATTTAACCCTGAAATTAGCCAAATGTAGGTGTCAGGGAACCCTGCTCTCCTTAGGTAGAAATGGAGCCCCCACGCCTCCACCTGTGGCCAAAATCAAGTCTCTGGGTAACTCCCCATTAAGAAGAAGAACAAAAATGAATTCTTACATTTGGAAATAATTGCAGACAACAGCTTGGCCAGGAAAACACAAAAGGTAACGTGTGAGACATTTGTCATTGCTCAGAATTTTAAAATTGCATTCCAAAACTGTTGGATTTGAATTTAAGTGAGGGCAAACTGGGGCAAGATCAAACCCCACTATCAAAGAATCACATCTATTCCATGTGGCCACATGGCTTTTGTTGTTTATTTCAAATGCTGTTTCCATTGCTAGTGTTGAGACTCTTCATGCCCTGCTAAAGGATTTCCTCCAGAAATTTTAAAAACAGGAAAGATTCCCCTCCCCCTTCTCTGGGAGTCTTTCTGCTCAGGTTGGAAACAGTCCTGTTCGGAGGCAGAGGGACGGGCATGGTGAATCTTCTGCAAATCTAGACAATCATATGTAATGATGCATCTAAATGCATAGCTTTTCCCTTGTCTCT